TGCATCCAGTGAAAATCCTGTCACGTAGACGCTGGTTGTTTATTATATAAGGTTATTGTTGTTTTTCAGATAAATTTAATGTGTCTTGCATTTCTGAAATTATTTGTCAAAGAATTTGATAAGGGATATATATTTTTTATGATAAGTAAAAAAAAATGCTGTATATTTAAATTACAAAAATGCCATTAAACACTAATGAAACTTATATGCAAATTATTTATATATTTTTTAAGATATTTTTTTTTATTGACATATAAATTTAGAATAATTTTTTTAAAAAATAATGAGGAATATTTATTATGTATTTGATAAAATTAAGAGCAAATCCTTGTTGACATTTTAATTTTTGATGGAAAAAGTGACAAAATAAATCTGGACGGTCGTCTGGAGAGGAAATAATTAATGTATAAATTTATATCATTTAGGGTTGTAGATAAAAGTAATAACGGATTACGAAAGCAGTGTACAAAACACAATACGTCCTGATAAAGATGATATGCCTATGAACGCAAAACGATATTTCTGTCAATGTCAGCATTGGTATCCCCCTCTTAGAATCATGAACGACAATGTTAACTAAACCATAAAACGGTCGTAAGTATTGTTATAAAGGCCACGATAGAACTACTGCATATTTTTCAATTAATAAAGTTGGTGAAATTGGCTGTACTGTACAATCAAGTTTGAACAAGCAAAACGATATTTCTGTCAATGTCAGAATTGGTATCCCCTTCTAAAATAGAATCATGAACGACAATGTTAACTCAACCATAAAACGGTCGTAAGTATTGTTATAAAGGCCACGACAGAAATACTGCATATTTTTCCATTAATAAAGTTGATGAAATTGGCCGTACTGTACATTCAAGTTTGAACATTCCTTTAAATATTAATGAAAGTTTCTCAGAGAATAGGATAAAGTAATATTTATATTAACACCTAGTGAAGTGAATGATAGTACAGAATTAAATGTTTATATTTGTTAAAAAATAGGCGGAGGTGGCATAGGGATGTGGTAGTGGTGATAGAAATATCATTTGGAGAAATGGGTGAAAATAAAATAAACATAGATATAAAACATAAGATAAAAAAAAAACCTCCAGATGAATTTATTTCAAGCGTAGTTCTTTATTATTTTGTCTACCAGTAACTCTAGAACGGGTAAGGCGTTTGTTTTATAGTCATTATTTTCTTTATCTTTAATAATAGATTTATCATGTTTTGTAGCAATGTGAGGGATTAGGGTTAGCCTAGACAAATAAAGAAATCAGGCAAAAATATAAATAAACTATTGTTGAAATTAAACAAACATTAAAATAATGTAAAACCGGTGGATGGGTCAATATTAGATGCATATTTATAGTAGTTAGAGGGCTATCATCAATTTTTGGGGGACTTATCAAGCCTATTATGATATTCTAAAAGTTAAATAATAACATGATGAATGTAATGTTATTAAGATAAAGGCTAATTAATTGTAAGGTAATTAAAAAATAAGATTAAAAAAGGGGGGAAAAAAGAAGGTAAAAATTATTATATTATAAAAATTAAATTAAATTAAAGGAATTGATAAGGTTTTGAGAAATAGTGGTTAATAGATAATAGAGATAGAAAGAAAAGAATGAGATAATAAAATTTTGTGATAAATAAAAATGTTTAAAAAATAAGTGGAGGTGGCATAGGGATTGTGGTAGTGGTGATAGAAATATCATTTAGAGAACTGGGTGAAAATAAAAAACATAGATATAAAACATAAGATAAAAAAAAACAAAATAAACTTCCAGATTAGTTCATTTCAAGCGTAGTTCATTATTATTTTGTCTACCAGTAACTCTAGAACGGGTAAGGCGTTTGTTTAATAGTCATTGTTTTCTTTGCTTTTCTTTTATAATAGATTCATCATGTTTTATAGCAATGTGAGGGATTAGGGTTAGCCTAGCCAAATAAAGAAATCAGGCAAAAATATAAATAAACTATTGTTGAAATTAAACAAACATTAAAATAATGTAAAACCGGTAGATGGGTCAATATTAGATGCATATTTCTAGTAGTTGGAGGGCTATCATCAAAAAAATTTTTTGGGGGACTTATCAAGCCTGTTATGATATTCTAAAAGTTAAATAATAACATGATGAATGTAATGTTATTAAGATTAAGGTTAATTAATTGTAAGGTAATTAAAAAATAAGATTAAAAAAGGGGGAAAAGAAGGTATAAATTATTATATTATAAAAATAATAAAATAAAGGAATTGATAAGGTTTGGCTATCATCAGGAAAAATTTTTGGGGGACTTATCAAGCCTATTATGTTATTCTAAAAGTTAAAAAATTATATGAATGTAATGTTATTAAGATTAAGGTTAATTAATTGTAAGGTAATTAAAAAATAAGATTAAAAAAGGGGGGAAAAAGAAGGTATAAATTATTATGTTATAAAAATAATAAAATTAAATTACAGGAATTGATAAGGTTTTGAGAAATAGTGGTTAATAGATAATAGAGATAGAAAGAAAAGAATGAGATAATAAAATTTAGTGATAAATAAATTGATTAAGGGAGGGGAAAAAAATAAAGAAAGAGTTATTTATAAGGATTGGAGATTATAAATAGGTTAGGATAAGAATATTTAAATATTTGAATATACTTGGTTATCTTTTTAATTATTGGTTATGAAAGAAAAACATGAGTATAAAAAGATTTCATTAATATGTAATTGATAATCTGAGATGAAAATTGATAAGGTAATTTAAAAAATAAAGAAAGGATTAAGTGAAATAAAAAGTTTCATTCATATATACAAATTTCAGGGAATATTGTTTTTATCAATTCAAAGACGATTTTTCAAATATCTCAATCCATGTTAGGTATGTGTACATTATCAATTCCATTCATCTGTATGAATAAAATAAAATAAAAAAATAAAAAAAATAAAATATTTTAAATATTTATTTCAAATTTCATTATATAATTGTTTATTAATTAATATGTATATAGATTATTGTTATTACTTGTTATATAAAAGTGATTTAACAATAAAAATATTTTATATACTTTTAGAATTGCAATTGAATTGAATATAAACTATAACTGATCATAAGTTATGGTATAGTTAAATTATAGATGTTATACTAATAAAAAGTATATTAAAAATTAAAACCATTGGTATCTTTACAGATTACAAAACTATATATGATATCGGATCGGATCGACCTCCAAAAAGTGGTATCGGTACACCTCTAATAATTATATATCCAAAATAATTTTAATTTGATAATCAACCATCATCTATAAAAAATTAACAATTATCTAGGAGGGACTTAAGTATAGGTATTATTATGTTAATAATAAAATTAAAATGTATAATATACTTTAATATGTTTAACAAAGTTTGTAGAGGAGTTTGTTCAACCTTTAATAACTTTTTTACTTGTGCAATTTTGACATTCGGCTTTTACCTTGTCCTTTTTCACATGAATTACTTTATAAAATTTTCCATCTATAATTTTAAGATTCAGATTTGATTCAGGAGAACCTATCTCCATAATTTCATCTTCACCACTATAAATGTTATACATTCTACAAATTAAAAAATATTACATATAAAATATAACCTATACTTATTTAGTTTTGGTGTTGTTATTTTTAATCTATCTATCTTTGTGATCTGTAAAATTTCCAACTAATCTTGGTTATCAATATATTTAAAATATAGCAGGAAAAAATAAAGAAAATAATACAAGATTTCACGAAGAAAATAAAGTTAGATTGTGTGATATGTAAATGTTTTAAACATGAATATTAAAAAGAATCTGTATCTGTATCTTTTTAAAGAAAATAAAAAAGATACAAGATTCTTTTCAAAATAAAGGATCTTAGATACAGATACTAGTATCTTATTAAAAATGTCAATAAGATACTGAGTACAAGATACAAAAGGATCTTGTATCTTAGATACAAGTATTCGCGGTACTGCCCAACTCTGGTAATTAAACTAATAAAAATGTCCTATTCTGATAATTACCCAATGATATATATATCATTATAATTACCTAAAATATATAAACCACAAATCTTTAATTGAATAATCATCCTTATCTTTATTAAAAGGAAAAATATATCAGTTATGTCTTTAAATCAATCTAATTCTTATAATATATTATATTTGTGATCTAGTTTCTCCCAGGGGCGTCGCTAGCCTTTACAATCTTAGGGGGCTCAATTAAATATTTATTATGGCCCATAATTTGCTGGCCTTCGGTCCGCTTTTGCCCGGCCTTCAGGGGTGGGGGTTTATATTAGCAAACATTACTTTTTAAAAATTTGCTAACCCTGAACAATTATTCTGAATTTCATATTATTTTGTCATAAAATAATAATTTTTAATACAAAATGTAAAATATAAAAATGTTGTAATATAGAGAAAAGTTGGAACCTAAAAGAATAAAATAAAAAATGATTAAATACTAAAATCTGATACTAAATATTTATTAAATATTAATAATTAACTATAATTTGAAAACATAATCAACATAAAAGAAACATAAAAATAAAAATTAAGTGAAAGTAAAAAAAAATAAAAAAGCCAAAAAAAATTAAAAGTCATGTTAATTATAAAAATTGTGTCTTTTATATAAAATTAACACCATCCGATTATAACATAATATAAATTTCGTCGGATTATAATCAACTTTAAATCATTATTCAAAAAGTTATATAAGCCCCATATCTTTTCATTTTTCATCACAAACAAGCATTTACATAGTGTTTAAACAGCAAACCCAAGTAATCTTGAACTTTATCTAATCTGAATAAATCTTTTTTATTCATTTTCTATAACTCATTTAAATATCACAATACAAAATATATTTATTACAGTATAAAATATTTTTGATTGCCGATATAAAAAATTTTGCGTCTAAATAATTACAAGTGATAAAAAAGGTTAATATCACTAACTTAGGATAAGCATTCGATATTATTTTATCAAAGGAAAGTTTAGCACGAATTATTAAAAAAAATATTTCTCAGGTTTTGTAATAATCATTCATTCTTTATGATATTTTTTAAAAACCTATGTTTGCTGGCGCGATGGCTCATTTGATACGTAGTAAACCAAATATAATATTTGTATTAGGAGCTCCAGGTGCTGGCAAAGGCACTCAGTCTAATAAAATTGTTAAGGTTATTTTTTAAAATAATACATTTTATTTAGTTATTATATTAGGAATTTGGATTTATTCACTTATCAGCTGGTGATCTTTTACGTGAAGAGCAGACCCGAGAAAATTCGAAATTCTCTGAGTTAATTCAGTATCACATAAAAAATGGATCTATTGTTCCTGTTGAAATAACTTGCAAACTTATCGAGAACGTTGGTATTTTGTAAAGTATTATAATAAAACTATTTTTATAGGCAATGTTAAGAAGTGGAAAGAATAATTTCTTAATTGATGGATTTCCACGTAATCAAAATAATTTAGAAGGCTGGCAAAAAGAAATGGCTGATAAAGTCAACCTGAAATTTGTTTTAATATTTGATTGTTCTGAAAAAGTATTATTAATGATACTATTTATAATAATATTTTGAGTAATTTATTAATAAGATATAAGTCTAAGCAATATAATATTTAATTTGATAAATCAAAATACCCAACCTATTAAGTAACATAAATGTTAATTGTATTATTATATTTTTGCATTTAGATATTGTTTATCAAAAGTTGAGAAATTATTTTTATAATTATCATTATTAAAGTTAAAACATAATATTATTTATTGACATAAGGCCATTTCCAAACAAAATGTTTCAAAACATTTTCCAAGGGGAATTTTTTGCAAATTTATTTCTTCTTTTCATAAACAAATGACTTTTATTATACAGATTATTTTTTATATTATAAAATATTTTAATAAATAATTTATACAAAAAGGTACTATATTCCCAGAAAAGAGGCCTACATTACTTTAAATTTAGTATTATTTACTTATTAAAGAATAAAAAGCATATAGACTTGTATCCCAAAATTATTTTTGAATAGTCTATACAAGCAGAATAAGCAAATTGAATATTTAGGGGGATAAGTTATGAGAAAGATAAGACTTAATTCTTAAATAATTACTTTTATTAATATATTATTCACCAGATAAGTTTACATATTTTTATTATAAAATTTACATTAAAGTAATGGTATATAAAATATAGGCAATGTATAACATGATTATAATAAATATGGAATGGAAATTATAAAATTGAATTATCTAATTTGCAATATAATAGTAAAGTTGTTATGCTAAAAATAAAATAATTATGAATATTATTTTAAAATACAAATATAAGGAAGGAAAACAACAAAATTATTCTATGAGTTCACAGAACAAAATGTTGAATATGAATATTATTTTAAAATACAAATATAAGGAAGGAAAACAACAAAATTATTCTATGAGTTCACAGAACAAAATGTTGAAAGTGAATATGAAATTTTTTAAACAAAAATATGAAAACGATACTATTTTTTTGAAAAATTATCATAGGTACTTTAGTATCATAATAAAAATGTCAAAAAGATACATACAAAATGATCTTGTATCTTAGATACAATTATTTATGGTACTGCCAACTCTGCTTTATAAATAATAAAATTTATAAAGTATAATATATAGAAGACATAAATTTGTCAAATAATAATTATAAAAAATATAAGCAAATGAAACTGAATAGTTTTGAATCCTTATTTAAATATAAATCATGTTTAACAAAAAAAAAATTAAATTAAGAATTGCATTGACAGATGTTTGAAAAGAGGCGCCATGAGTGGACGAGAAGATGATAATATTGAAAGTCTCAAAAAAAGGTAATTTTTTAAAAACTTTCATATAAATCTTTATATCATTTCAGATTCCACACATTCGAAAATTCCACTTTATCTATAATTGATTATTATCGTAAATTCAATATAGTGGAGACCCTTGATGCTAATCAAACACCAAATAAAGTTTTATTTGAAAAATGAATTATTTTTAAATATTTCAAGGTTATTTTTGTTAGCAATATTTGTTGCATATTTTTAGATTTTTATTTACCAAAAAATTGGATACAAGATTAAACTTAACATATATCCAATGATAAATGACTATATTTTTTGAACAATTTAATTTTATATAAAAAATTTGGTATGATAATTATATAGAGTCCAACTTAAATAATTATTAAGTTTTAGAGGTCTAGTTAAAATAATCCGGGGTTATGGACTTTCAAACTCCAATACTATCTTGGTAATAAGGATCTTAAATTACTTTATAAAATTTATCCAAATATATAAATTATATAATTTTGTATCCCTTAAAATCCTCTTCTTTTGAAGTAAACATGAATATATTTTTCATAAATTCTCCATTACTGATATATTTCCCGTGAAATAAAAATAGTATTTTGATCTAAAATTTGGGACGGTGATAATATTTATGTTATTTATTATTAATGAAAGATCTGCAAGGCTCAGCCCGTCCGCGGATCTTTTTTAAAAAAAAAAATTATAATGGGTCGGGTAATTCGTACATAAAAAATAAATAGGCCGGTCATCGATATATACAAATCGGGCCAGGCTCCGACTCGGATTTTTTGTAATTTAAATAGACCAACCCGGGCATTAAAATTTTGGTATTTATATTTTTTAATATATAGATTTAGTAATACTATTAAATAAATTACAATATGCTTATTTCTTTAACATAATTTATTATCACATTGTGATAGTGTAGAGTAATCGGCTAAAAATCTCACCTAGGCCTAGGCTTAGCCGAATTTTTTCATCTAAAACTCAACTAAGCCATTTTGGAGTTGGCTAAAATTGGCCGATTACCAACACTACATTGAGCGTACATAGGACCATCCCTTAAAAATTTCTAATTTCAAGAAAAAATATATTTTATAAAAATAATATGAGGCATTTTATTTATTAATAAATTATCTTAGAAATTTTTAAGAAATGTTTTTTGTCTCCTGAATAATTTAAAAAAGATCGCTTACGAGGTTTTGCTGTGACGACTATATATCTTTAATTTGTATGATATAAATTGAATTACATTTAAATAATCGTTTATTCAAGCCTTAAAGGTGATTGGCTTACGCTTCAAAAAATGTAAAATAAATTATGATGAAAAATATATCGAGATAATTAAGTTTTTGGAAACAAATAATATATGAATATCCAAAAAATTGAAATGAGAAATGCGATAAGGATATATAGAAATATTTTATGAGTTTGGACATAAAATAAGGGAAATGCATTAATTTTTATTTAAAAAAAATTCAAAATGAATTAAATTTGGTGTTTTTAGCACTTCCCTATAAGCTTTTTTAAAAATTTGGGCCATAACGAGACAGTCCTAGAGTTAAAAAAACTCTTGCCATTGTTCCGCGAGCAGGCTTGGGGCCGAAAAAATCTATTTTTCAGGTCTATAATATTCACAGGGTATTATATTGATGTTAAAAAATGATGACGCTCTAAAAAAATTTTTTTAAAAATATTTTCAATAAGTACTGTTTTGTTTTAATGCCTATTTTTTTAAAATTATTTTTAACAATAGCATCCAAATGTAAAATAATTATACATATAACAGTAGCATATATGTTTAGGTTTACAATATTAAATTGCTATAAAAATGTTATATTTTTTTACATAATAATTATATTATGTTTGAGGTTTTATATATAATGATTATTTATATTATAAAATGTCTATTTTTATAAATAAAATCACATTGCAATTATTCTCTAATGATAGCTTCCTCTATATTTGGTTTTTTCCCAAAAATTATAAAAAACGTTTCATTTTCATTTTTACATAAATAGTTAAATATATTATTAGTAAACACATATCTAGAAAAGGCTGGCAATATGAAATTCTAATTCATATCAAATTTTTGAAAATATAACTCGATTTAAAATATATTTAGATTTTAACTATTTTACTTATCTACGTGTTAAATATATCGGAAAGGACAAATAATATCTATAAAAATCATGGAATCATAAAATTAAAAAATATTTATTATTGGGGCAAAAGAAACCTTAATGCATTTAGACATAATTAATTTTTAAATGACAATTTAAAATCCGATATTCCAACTCAGTTTAGCTCATAGTTTTTATTTAGAATTTAACTAGTTTATGTTTTTATATTTTCTTAAGTGACCTAAATATATTTAAAAACCTCATAATTTATAAATTTTCATTAATTAATATAATTATTAAACGACCAAAATCTTCCATTAAAATATTCAAAATGCTTGATATTAATCAATTATCAGTTATTTATTGTTGTATCAGTATTTAGTATAACCTTCAAGTTGAACAATTTATAAATCAATACAGCCTTAATTTACTTGTAAATAAATGTAATAATTAAGAATTTAAAACAAAAGTTAAGCCACTTATAAATCTTTACAGCCTAGATTTTCTTGTAAACAAATATAAGAATTTATAGTGAAAGTAGAAAAATTGCACAACCTGTAATAATTGTCTTAAAGGACCTAAATTTATAAAAATAGCCTTCAACTACATAATAACAACTTTTATATAGAAATATAATATAATTATTTTTTATACTTTAAAATATATATAATTTATTATTATTTGAGTTGTATAATAAAATTGTATTAAAAACAATATAAAATAGTACTAAAATATTATTAATTTTCATTCCCAAAAATGATCATAAATTTTCACAAAATTTGAATCATTACCTATATTTGAGCCATAGAATTAAGATACAATGCGGCTAATTAAAACATGAATTTTATATACAAATATAAAATAATACTATTCATAGATGTAATTTTAGATTCCTAAATGTTATAATACTTTTTGTTGTGGGAATTGAAAACCTGCTTTAGAATCTACATTTTCCTCTATACTGTTCAACAAACTAAAGATCCTTGCTTTTTATAATAAGAGCACCAGAATTTTTTGTTAAAATGTTTTATTATATATATATAAACCAGATGTTTGTTGGGTGCATATAATAATTTGGCTTTTATTGTTGCAAATTTCTTCTTCCCCTGATTATAATTTAGGTTATATACTTTTTAAATTTCCTCTCATATGATCTTACCTGCTGTTGAATCTTAAAATTTTAAATCATTTTTACTTCAAAGGGTTCTATGCACTCTTACATTCTCTATAAATAAATATTCTGACAATAAAACAAATAGTTTTATGGCTTTAATTTTTTTGGTCTGTAAATTTATAAAAATGGGCACTATTATTTAAAAGTTATTTTAAAATATCGAGTCAGGAACTACTTATTTAGGTAATTCAGAGGCTTTATTAAAAATAAATTGGTAGATGAATCTTTATATCATAATATTGCATATTGATAGCAAATATCTTCTAAGTCTCAAAATTTATAATTCCTACCAAATTATTTTTTTCGCAAGAATTTCACAAGTTTATAAATTTTAATATAAATTTTATTTAGATTTCTATTATATTAAAAAAAGGTTAATTTTTTTTAAATTCGGAAAAATGATTTAGACCACTATTTTATTTTTATATAAAAATATGTTATTTATTTTAATGAAAATTAATAAATTATATTTTTGATATTTGGGTCACAGCCTACCGAGAATTTTCAGGGCTACAATAAAATTTATATTTATATTTAGACTAAATATTTTTAGAGTAATTTGAGATTCTTAAAACGGAAATTGCACCTATGTTGGACAGAGCGCATAACTCTAAATGAGCTATTTAAAATTTTTATACAAATTTTACAAAATATATAACCACAATATCCCAAGCTCTATTAATTTTACTGGTAGGCGCGGCCCAAATGAAGATTTTAAAATAAAAACTAGGCTCACGTCCACTCTTTAGTATTTTCTATTCTTCTTTAAAATTATTTTAGTTTAACTATTTAAGTATTGATTGATATAATTTAGTGATCTGCATCGGGCTTAATTTTTCAAGCCCGTCCAGCCCGAATTTATTTAAATATAGAAATATTTTTATAATTACTCAAAATAAACGATATAAAATCAAATATTTTTATTTTATATAAAAAATCAACATAAAATTGATAAATTTAGATATATTTAAAAAAAATTCTACGGCCCGAATTTTCTTAAAAAATATTAGGCCACCCAGTCCGAATTCGATTTTTTTTAAAAAATAGGCCCTGATCTCTAATTTATATGTAAAAATTTATATTATATTATAGATTTTAATATGATTTATTTTATATTTATTTTTTAATATAATGTATAATATTTAAAATAAATTAAAAAAAATAAAATTATTCAATATTATCGAATTTATTATTCATACGAATACGAATAGTAAGTTATTCGATTTGTTTATACAGATTGAATGCAAATAATTTAATATTCGATTCATATCCAATTTTAAATAGGCCTAATTCACAAGTGTATATATTATAAAAATAATATTAACGCTAGAAAATACAATATTATATAAATATAAAATTTTATTTATCCATTTCACAAAAATCTTAAAATCAATAACTTAAATGTAGAATATATATATATATATATTAAGAGATACAACATAATTTTAAAAAGTAAATATTATCATCAATAAAACAAAAATGTAGAATTTATCTAATATACAAAATATTTTAAAAACGAATAATGTCGCTTCCTAGAAAATTTTACGATAGCGAATCTAGAGGGGAGGGGATTTTGGTCTGGTTACCTTTTCACCTTCTTGAAAAATGTAGGATTATTCACTTTAATTTAAATAAATAAATGCACATTTTTTTCAGCGGAACTGATAAGAACGAAGAGTTTGGAGATAATTGTATCTAAAAAATTGGGCCGAGCTTGGGATAAAATAGAAATTAATAAGATCTTTTCCTTTTTTAATAGATATTTAGAATATGACAAAGCAATTCATGATTTTTATTTTATTTAACTTTATAAGTATACGTTTAATTTATATTTTTATCGGGCCGGCGGTAACATAGTTCCGACCCTTAGTACATTCCCTTTTTATTCTTCTTTTTTACCTAATTGAATATCACATCACATTTATAAAATGAATTTAATAAATAAGAAAGTTTTAAAAAAAAATCAGAAAATGGGAGATATTTCATATTCATTTCCTTTTTGATATCACTAAAATAGATAATTAAACATTAAATTATCAAAGTTATTGCTAAATTAACATTAAATTAAAATAGAGATAAAATAAATATTTTGAGTTTAAGATATTATTTTAATACAAGCTTTATGAAAAATTCAGGTCGTGCCTAGGTTTCTTTCGATTTTGCAGGTCTCTAAGCGAAACTTCTATTAAAAGGAACTTTCCATTTTTTATAAACATGAAGGAGCAAGCTTGCAACCCTTCCAAAAACCTCTAATTTAACTTGTATATTTTTTCTTAAACTTATTTGTCTAATCATATATTATTTTGTTAGGTTTTTGAAGATGTCAAAAAAGTTTTCGCCAAATATAACATATACCCACAATTCACTGGAAATGGAAACGGCTCAATCGGACATCATTAGAAAGAATACTTTTTCTAACTATTTTTTAAATAGTTAGTGATTTAGTAGACTTAGGTTTCTAGTTTAATCAATACTCCTCCTTTTTTTATGATTATTGTTTTGAACATTTTATTTATTTATTATCTTATTTATTGATTATCCAAAAATCAACACAATTTATATTACCAAAAAAAACTTATCCAATTATTTACGAATGAATTATTTTTGTACTTCATTTATATATATTTATGTTAAATCAACATCTAGATAATTGAATTTATATAAATTATGTAACATTTTATGTCATAGTTGAAATTGAAAATAATGCAATAAAATGAGAACACTCTTTTTTTTATTTGCATTTTTTAGAAAAAATCACGATAAATTTTAATAATATCCGCGTTTTATTATATGGACATATTTAGTTTAATTTTCTCCTTATCGTTGATTTATGGGGGAAAAAAATTTAATCGTTTTTTAAATTTATTAAAAAAATTTCTAAATATAATATCTACTCTTAAAAATATAACATTTATTATAATTAAAAAAAAATTGAATTTGTTTGGAAATGTTTAGTCTCCCTTTTAAGAGGACTAGCTATCGCTGCTACCATTTGGAAATGAGCTAGTTCCCGCTCCCCCTACAGAGTTTATAAAAGGAGTTCCGCTGCTCCTTTGATTTTTTTTAATATCGTAAAGTACATAAAACAAAATCATTTATCTAATATATTTTTTTTCAAAGAAAAAGGTACATTAGAAGAATTTATAATCTTTATTTGCTTTTAAATAGCAAATTTTCTAAATTTGAATCTGATAAACAACCACGCCTCTCACCTTAAATTTGTTTGGCAATACTAAAGAAGAGCTCAACAGGAACACTAGAGAGTAATAGTTTATAAAGTATTAAAAAATATTTATCTAATATATTTTCTTCCTTTTAATCTATTTGATTGACTCTAATGATAGTAGATAATGACTAAATGTGAATACTATCAGCCACTCCACATTGAATATTTATGTTATAAAATTTGAAAAATTCCTGGTATATTTGTGCTTAGAATTTATTTCCTTATAAAATTAATGATATTTTTAGTAGTTATCTATTTTGATCCCTTTTATCCAAATTTAATTTAAATGCTGAATAATAGCAGTAATAATATTATCATCGTTACAAACACTTGGAAATCTACAAAAAGGTTATTTACAATATGTAATATATTTTTACCAAATTATAAACTTTTTATTAATGCCAAGTATAAGAGAATCTGCAAAAGCTCGCTTTCGAGGTTTTTGCCGAAGGCTCCATAATCTGAAATTTATTTGTTTGGGAATTGATATTTACAAGATTATATTCTTTAATAAATTCATGAGAGTTCGCCCACAAGCTAAATGTTATTACATAAATGATCAAATCTTGAAATTTTTTGCTAAATATTTTATCTAACACTACCATGGATTTATAATATGAATTCCATCTGGTGGTTTTTGGACATATCAAATCTCAATTTTTTAATTATGCTATCGGCCATATTTGTGGACATATTCTGTTTCATAAAGATTGACACTTTTGAATTGAGCTTTGAGATATAGTATTAAACTTCGATTTTCTTAAGCTTTCTCCGCATCAACTGTTGCCACCAAATTAATTAGGAAATCATAACTTTCAACTTAGTAAGGATAACATTGATATTCACACCTTAAGAATCTTCATCTATTTCAGAACTTTTATCCTCATACATTCTAAAAAATAAAAAGAATATGATTCGTTGCAATGATTTCGAGTTGATCCAATGAGCTGTTACATCCAAAAAAGCGGTTTCATTAGGATCATAAAGATCCTCCTCTTTTAAAACAGAAAAATATTTACTATAGGATGGAAATGGAAATTTTATTTCATCCAATTCAGTTTCTACATCTTGATTTAGAAAAGACAATAAAAAAATAAACTTATAGAAGACACAAATCTAAATTTTAGAGCCAACGCAATCGGTGAATGGATAAATAGAAACTATCAACCTGGAAGATTATTTAGAATTATTTCTTAAATCAGGCATTAAAAAGGAATGGAGTAATGTGTTGTTAAATGGCTCGATTTTAGCCGATTTTTAAAAACGACTACTCAATATTTTATCCAAAAAATATTACGCAAGCCTAAAGATTTTGCTCATATGGCACAAAGGTTTGAACATCTATTAGCAAAATCTCACTTAGGCACATTTTTCTGGCTAAAATATTGAGTTAACCGTTTTAAAAAATCGAAAAATATAATATTTGAGTTACTGAAATCCTCCAAAAAATTTGTATTTTGAAAATAATTGAAAAGTAACTGCTAACCCTTTTTTTTACATTTTTTACAAAGTAACAAACGCGTTACCTTTTCAAGTAATGTTTACTAAAATTGATACTAAGTTCAATCACTCAAATCGATATAATGGCATGAAATTTTAAGGTAAATGAAAAATTTATATATTAATAGTTACTATTTTCTACTAGTTTCTCTTTGAACGACTAAAAGGTTTGGTAATCTAAACCATTTTTAATAAATATTGAAAATATATAAACGAAATAAAATATTTAAAAATCAAAATAACTATTAAAAATAAAGTACGAATATATGAAAATATAGGAAAGACATGTTTATGACAAATAGAAACATCCTTGAGAAATTCATTATAAACCGTGATAAGTGATAAAATTAATAGGATTTACTACAAAGAGTTTGATTTTTAATCATATAGAACGAAGAAGAGCAGACCCGTCAGATCTATTTATCCACGATTGATGTTACTACAAATTATAATTATTTTAGCGACTAGTTTCCTAAAGAAATATCCAAAAGCCTACTTTTACCTTCGTTAGGTATTGCAACTAAGCTTGCACCAAAATAAGAGCCTAAATATTGGAAGGGTTGGGTTAAAATTTTATTGTAATAAAAGGTTTTGAATAGTAAACTGGGTTATTATTATTATTATCAATTAAATCGAGGAAAAGGTTAGGATGGAAGTGATCTAAGACCATCTGTTGTGACTTTGCGGAAAGTTTTAAGAGAATTAAAAATTTGATCCAGAAGGGAATAGCTTAGCAAATCCAGAGGAAGTGATGTTATAAATAGTAGGATGGTGTTTATCAATGAGAGATAAATGTGGGGATTTATCTTAAGAAGCTAATTTATCATCAAAGATCGCGAAACGGATAGTACCGACAACATCACCAGGAATTTAATTATCGTTGATCAGTTTAAACTTATGGCCTGGTTACAATTATTTATTTTATATGTGGCTTTGGGCTCCGTGAAGTTGCCCGAATTGGAAGCACTAACGATGAAGCATATGCCATTTTTAGTGATTGTTAGTGCTTCCATTGTATAACCGAAGTTAAGGAAAATATGTTATAAACAAAAACTTTGGCCAACTTCACGCTATCACTTTGCCTAAGTTATTTGCGAAAAAAACAAAAATAAACAAATAATGGCGATATGCCAAATAAAGACTATAAAAGCATGGACATTTAGTTTTCACCAATATATAGTGCTTAATTAATATATTTAAATTTCCTTTATTAATTTAGTAAACCATATTAGTTATATGCTAAATAGAAATTATAACGTCAACCATTTAGGCGTGAATTTGGCCGAACAATTGGAAGCATTAAAGATGAAACTATATCACTCTTTATTGCTTTGTTAGTAGAGTTTAGTGCTTCAATCAGTTTAGTAGCCCCCCATTAAAATATAAAAGTTATTAAAGAAAAAACAAAAATAAACAAATAATGGCTGTTTGGCAAAACAAAAACTATAGTAGTATTAAACATCCGATTTTAACCATCATTTGGTGCTTAAATAGTAAATTGAAATTTCTTTATTAATTAAGTTAACCGCTTTATAAAAAAAGTTATAAGCTATATAAAAATTATCACGTTATGATTTAGGAGTGAAGTTGGCCAAACGATTGGAAGCACTAACGATGAAACTATCATTTTATAGTACTTGTTAGTAGTGGTTAGTGCTTCAATCACTTTTGTAGCCTAAATTAAGAATAAAAAGTTATTTGTGAATAAAACAAACGTAAACAAATAATGGCGACATGCCAAAACAATATCCATAAACAATGAACATTTAGTTTCATTAATATAAAAATTATTACGTCACGATTTACGCATGAAGTTGGCCGAAAGATTGGAAGCACTAACGATGAAACTTATATCATTCTTTATTGCTTCATTAGTAAAGGTTAGGGTTTTAGTCAGTTTAGTAGCCCCTATTAAAATAAAAAACATAAATAAACAACAACGGATTTCCAAAATAACTAGTGGTATTTAACATCCGATTTTCGCCATTATTTAGTGCTTAATTAGTAAATTTGAATTCCGTTATTAATTTGGTAAACCGCCTTGTAAAAAAAGGTTATAAGTTAAATAAATGTATCAAGGTCTAATTATAACCAGCGAAATTATGAAAGCACCAACGATGAAACATTTATCAATCTTAGGCGCTCCTTTCATAGAGATTAGTGCCTTATTAAGTTTAGTAACACCACTTAAAATAAAAAAGTTATTAAAGAAGAAAACAAAAATAAGCAACAAATGGCGGTTAACCGAAACAAAACTGAAGTAGTGCTATACACCGGGTTTACGCTATTATTTAGTGCTTAATTAGTAAATTCAAATTCCCCATTCACCGCCTAATTAAAAAATATTTGTCCCCTAAAAAAAAATTTGGCCAGCAAAATTATGGAAGCATTAACGATGAAACTTATATATTTTTTAGGGCTTCGTTAGTAGATATTAGTGCTTAAATCAGTTTAGCGGCCCAAATTAAAATAAAAAAGGTATTAAAGAAATAAAAAACTAAACAATCAATGGCGGCACATCAAAACAAAAACTATAGTAGTATTGAGCACCCTGCCATTACTTAGTGCTTAATTAGTCATTTAAAAATTTTGTAACTAATTTGGTTAACTTATATAAAAAAAGTATAAGCTAAATAAAAGTTATGACGTTACGATTTAGGCTTGAAATTGGTCGAACGATTGGAAGCACTAACAATGAAACTTATATAATTCTTTAGTACTTCATTAGTAAAGGTTAGTAGTTCAATCAGTTAAGTAGCCGAATTTAAAATAAAAAAGTTATTAACAAAATAAACAAAAAATATATCAGTGAGAAATATCTTATATTCACCATTATTAAGTGCTTAATTAGTAAAATTTAAATTATTAATTAGTTTGGCTAAAAACCCTATAAAAAGTCACAATTAATTTAAAAAATCCATATTGTCCTATGCATTTAGCCTATCAATTGTTTCTTATATTTGCTTGTTTTTATTTCATTTTTTTATATTTAAATAATTACTCTGTAATTTGAATAGGATTTGTGTTGTTAAATAATTATTTTATATTTGAATAGTATTTGTGTTGTTAAATTATTATTTTATATTTGAATATTGTGTTAATGAAGTTTTCGATTATTATAGTAATTTAATATTTAGTTATATTTGAATATTTAAGTTGTTTGATTATATTATTATATCATGAACTGATTTACTTTTAATTTTTGAATATTAAAAAATATATATAAATACGCAAACCATTATAAAATTATTATTAGTTTTTTTTTTGATAATTTTTGTGTAATCGGAAATCCCTTTTAATAAAGTCGTAAGAATTGTTGTTGAATTAATTAATTGTAATAGTTTTTTTTTTATAATTTATGCAAATTATTTAAAGTTTCATTTTTATTTTTAGATTTAACAATCTCTGTAATTTGCCTTGGAACTTTTATCTAGTTTCCTTTAAACCATTCAATAAATATATTACTATAACTAAGATCGTAACAGTTTCCATACATCTACCACATTTGAGTACTATAAAATGTTTCAGAAGCTTAGATATATTAAGGTGCCCAAAATACATCAATGAATAGCTATAACAGTCACAAAAAATTATTTTCGGCCTAAATGGGTCCATTGAACCATATTCTAATAAGTGTATTATTTATTGTTTTATTATTTAAAAACATTCTCTAAAATTTTATTCAAATTATTCGTTTACATAGTTTTATTTTATTCGAAAAATTATGATATGCATATAAATATTTCTATCATAAATTTTATTTATATTTAGATCTCATTATTATCAATTAATTACGAAGTAATTCTGAGTTACCCTAATACAATAAACATGTATGTCATATCAATCCTTTAAATTTTCTGACACCTCTCTAGACGCTTGAGAAAATTTTAGAGAAGCCATATCTAATTGAATATTATTTTTCTATAGATATGAACAATTTATCCAAACTCCTCTCTGGAAATTGTCGAAACGACTAGAAAGATTATTAATATTACAATATTTAGATGGAGGAAAAATTGTAAAAAATGTTTGAAATAAATTTCAACGAATAAAACATAAATTGGCGAAAATAGGCATATAAATCAATAAAACATTCTATATAACAAATAAATACTAATATAAGAGGATTGTAGTTTGTAACATCGTTTTTGCTGAATTATAGATATATTTAGTTTTTTAATACATATAATGCAATATAATTTTATATGAATTATATAGGATAATTTTAAATTCACAATTTCTGTTGTCACAAATGCCATATTTTATATAGGGGCCATTGCAAAACCATTTGATTTGATAAGTTCAAGATAAAAACATTCATCAACCCTTAAATCATATATGACCTGTGCGTTCCCGGTCAAATACGCTGCCGCCGGTGATTTTTGACAATTTTATATATTATTTATGAATTGTAATTAAAAGAAAAATAATATTAAATATTTTTTAAATTAATAAAAAATGCGATTATATTTTTTAAAATTAATAAATATTATTAAACAAAATATGCTTACTAAATTTGATCATATTTCCCATAACCGATCTTCAGGTAGTATTTTATACATGAATTAGTTTTTTTAAATATTATTTCTCTTTGTTTTATTTTTTTACTTAGGTGCTAGGAGCACTTTTGGATCCTCGTTTTTAAGCTATTAACATAGTAAATGAATATTTAAAAGAAAAAAATATTACTCCTGTGCAATTTTTATGTCAACACGCTACCTCTCTGTTGCCTGACACGGGGACGAATTATCCGTGAAACGACGGAGGTTGCTTCAGAATTCGATCATCTTAAGTCATTGTCTACCAAAAATTTATCTATTCATAACAATAATCTGAAACAACATGACTATTTAACTAGTCTAGAAAAGGAGTGTTATTCATTATTTTTGCCTTATAATTTAGAGATTAAAGATGTCTTAGATTTTTGAAATATAAGAGCATTGCATATTCCTAAACTTTCAATATTAGCTAGAAAGATCCTGTGTTTTCTAGCTACGAGCAAACACAGCGGGTGTGTATTTTTCATAGCTTCTCACTTTGAACTCTAAAAGATTATAAATATTTCCTATAAATCTAAATAAAATAATATTTATACATGAAATTAATAAAATCGTTTAATTATAGTTACTATTTTAAAGTGTTTCCAATGAATTTATAATTTTATTAAAAAATTTAAATTAGAAAAATATTTGACGCTGCCCCGCCCCCGCCGATTTTTGTGGCGGTGTCTAAATCAATTCGCCGCGCCAGCCGATCGTTTTAAAACAAATGAAATTCTTTCAAAACTCTAGCATATATATTTTTTAATTTAAATAGGAAGTGTCAAGGGCTAAATTGTATAAGCTATGTAAAGAATTATTGTAGAATAATAATGACCAAACTTTATTTTTAATGGTACTTTGATAGCTACTTATAACAGCACTAGTAGCTAATCAGTCATATCAAATTTTTGTGTAAATTCAGTAATCATATATCAAATTACATTACTGATTCACTCATCAATTTTTTAATTAAATTGAGGAAGCATATCTAATCAATATAAAAATACATTTCTGATTCACTCATCAAATATTTTTATTCTTTTTTCGAAAATTTTTCTTTCTTTAATTGCTGCTTTTAAAAAATATGTTTTAACAGAAAGATCTGTAAATATCGAGAAATTATTTAATTTATATATTTCACATCCTGTTGTTTCAATAATAATTTGTTCATGAAATTCGTATTCATGCACTCAAATTCCTGCACGATTTACAGAAGGATCGGGCAGGTATGTCTTCAATCGCAGCTGCCAAGTTTTGGAAACCTGTTGTATTTAAAATGTTTATATTAATTGGTATATATAGGGCATCTTATATTCTCCGTCTTATAGCACTTATTAGTGCATTTAAATTTATCCGTCATACTATATATGTTAGCGTCAACGTGTTATTTCCGGCGATGTGTTATTTTAAAACTTTAAATTATTTTTTGAGCGCGTTTTTTTAAATTTAAAAATTTGATTTTACCTCAAATATATTCCATCATGTTTAGAATACCTATCTTATGAATTGTAGACAATTTTGCTGTTAATCTTTGAGTCATTTATAATTTATATAAAAATATATGAAAAATTTAATTTAAATTATATTAAGTTTTAATGTTCATAGAAAAATTGTTTGAAATTCATTAAATAGGTATTCCCAAGCATGACATCATACATTTCCAGTAAAATCAGATTTTTAAATTTAAAAAAACGGGCTCAAAAAATGATTTAAAGTTGAAAAAATAACACATTGCCGGAAAAAACACATTGCTATATTTTTGAAACATTTGTTGATGACATAAAAAATGCCTCGCATGATAAACGATATAAATCATTCATTAGTATTAGTAATTAAAGTTAAAACATCGTCATCGCTAATTCAGTTCTCGTTATATATTTTGTTTATGTTTTATTAATTCCACGTGATATAAAATATTTAATAAAATGCTGAAAAACGTTATTTAATATTTGATCAAAATATGAGAAATATAATTTGCTATCGCAGCAGGCCACCGCCGCCCCTTAGGAAGGTGCATCAATAGGACACGTATTCCCTATTAAAAACTGTTTTGTCCCTATTTTTGAAGGATGTGCCATTGTAAAAAGATTTCCATTTCTTAATAATCCCAATTAATTTTTTTGTCATCTAATAAGCGCAAAATTTCAGGACAGTGAGCCCAAGAATGCTTTTTTCTTGCTACTGGCTTATCCGCCAACCCTTTCCAGTTTTCAAGTATTCGATTTTCATTAATTGAAACTTCATCGTCAATCGAAACTTTGTTAATTTTAAATTTTTGTATTTTTAAATCAGAGGTCTCTTGATATATGATATCTATTATTTCAATCCTTTCCTCCTTAATTAACTCGTTAATTTTAAGTACGGTATCTAAGTCTATATTTTCTTTATTAATTACATTTATAATTCTTGCAGCTTCCGTCAGTGTAATCATACCTTATATTTCGTTGAAATGCTTGCAAGAAAAACTTATCCAAACGTAATGGTAATGTTTCAGATTTAAAAGTTCTATTTTTTAAATTGTTAAAATAACTTTCAATATTAGTCGTAGAAGCAGTTGGTTGCCCATATTTATATTGTACTTGCATAATGTTAAACCATAAGGGATATGTCCTCAAAAAATTGCATAATGTTTCATAATATCTGGGCAATAAAAATAATTTTCTTCTTTTACAAATATTGCACATTTAGATTTGGCACTATTTTTCAAATTTTCTATCCAATGATAGAGATTACTGGTTATATTTAAATTAATTATCTCAACATCATCGACTTTATTATAAATATCAGTTTCCATTTTCTCAAGTCCAGATATAATAGGTTTTAGGTATTTTTTAGCATTCCAATAATTATTAGTACATGTCATTATTAAGGATTCAATAAGGACCAACATTTAATTAGCATAGCCATTGTGCGAATATAAAACTCTCTAAACAAACTGGGTTTTTATATAAACCCTGCCATCTGCTTATTAACTTAATACAGTGGGCATAATCAACTCTAATATAAATCTTGGGCATGTTTAATTTTTGTCCCATTACTATATTAAATACAAAGTCAATATTAATCTTCAGATCTATATAATTTGCTAAGGATCTAACAAAGCCTAGCAAAGCTTAAGAATGATCGGTTACAACTATTTTGGGGATTTTGCGCTAATTTGTATCCATATTTTGCATCACAGGTATTTGACCTTATTTTAATTTTATTCTAATTACTCCCGCATATAAAAAATAGCCTGATTTTTTATTATATTGCCTAATTTTTGTAACCAGGGAGCATGTTGCATCAATATGAAGTATCGACACATCAGTATCCTGACAAAATTTATTGTATATACACATTTGATCTGGCAACCAATAATGTATATAAAATTTATCAAATCATATATTAATAATGATTAAAATATAGGGTTCGGTATATTTTAAAATTAATAGTGTATTAATACCATTATCCATTTTCAGATCAAAATCATTATCATTTTTAAAAGTTTGCTTACACTTTCTTAGAACATTTAAAGAATAAAGTGTATATTTGGTTCTACCTTGCCAAATTCCATAGTTTGGTTGGCCTTTTCAACCCGCCAGTTAGAGGCAAAGTCTTATTCTAATTGATTGCCGATTTCCTTTCTTCTACCACTAAATGGTCTCTTTAAAACAAGAGTATGCATATGTGATTTATAATTAAAAATATCGTAAATTAACTTTTTTCAAAGTTTATCATGCATTGAACTAATCATATTCATTCTTAATGTGGCTGTGCATTGTTTACAATGAGCTCTAATTTTTAAAAAATATGAAATTTGATGGGAAATAATAATTTTTAAGCAACCAGGTAAAGGGAAGTTTCATCTGACTGGTTAAGATTTTCTCAATGATATGAGTCCAGCCAGATCGTAACTTTGCTTCATCGTCGCATGGATACATTTTATTCCATTCATCTATTAAAATTACTACTTCAAACTGTTCTTTTCCTATTTTTCGTTTTCAAATATATCTTCCTATTCCAACAAGTAATCATTAAATTTATTTTTAGAAACTTTTCTCTGCAATTAATATAAAATTTATTAAATATAACATAAGAAATTAGAATAGAATATTGAAAAATACTACTTACCGTTATCATATATTCATTTGTTTTTAGAATATCCCAGCAACTATTTTTATTAAAACGGATTCAGTGACATTAATTTAGCAAATGCATCACTTATCTTTATCCATGCATCAGCTGAAGTTCGATTAATATCCTTTATTATATCAATTTTGAAAGTAAAAAGGGTCATATTTATAAGTTCAACTGGTACAGCTGCTAGTCTATAAAAAATCTCTAATGACCGGTCTAATAAGGTAAATTGACCAACAAATTTGACCAGTCAAATACCCAACCGGGTTGAATTCTCAAAGTATAGGTTATTATAGTTATTATATATTTTATAGAAACTATATTTAGAAACTATTTTTTAGAAAACAGCATTTGAATTACGATAATTAAATAAGAACTTTTTATATATAAGTCTATTTTATTATTACTTTCCATATTCCTTTTCATGCTCATTTTGATTGATCTTATCATTCGCTCACACTGACCATTGGACTTTTGGAGGTGACGTGTAGTGTGTATGTGTTCAATTTTATGATCTTAAATTCTTGAATAGGTTACCAGTAAAGTTAGTTCCCTTATCACTGACTATTTTGTTATACCAAATAAGCTGAATATTTTCATCAATTCTTTAATTGTTGATTCAGCAGTTATGTTTTTAATTCTTCTAATAATAGGGAATTTGCTAAATGCGTCAACACATATCATAAAATTGTTATCTTCAAATTGCGCAGTCTATGTGCACGCGTTTGAAATTTTTGTTGTTGTTTCCCATGGGTTTTGTATATATGAGGATTGTCTGCATATTTATTACATGTATCACAATTTTTTACCTCCCGATCTATTTCTGCATTTATACCAGGCCACCACAAATAATCTCTCGCTAATGAATTTGTTTTCCCAGCACCTAGATGCCCTTTATGCAACTCTTGCAACATCTCGTTTCTCATATTTTGTGGTATTATTTTCTATAAAAGACAATCTTTAATTAAACTCAGTTCTAACTCCATATTTTTTGTTTTATTCTTTATCTGTTCATGATTATTTATATTGTTGATTACTTCCATTAATTCGTTATCTATACTAGTCTCTTTAACTATTCTTTTAAAATTTATTGGTATGTCCCAAAATTTGTCATCATTTTACCATCTATCTTTTGTACCATCTCTTCTGTATTCGTTTGCGGTATTAATTCTTGTATAGTATTATCATAATCTTCCTCAATTAAATTCACAAATTTATCTAAAATATTTCTAAAAACTGTTATCCAGGTCCTTCCCAAAAGTGAAATCTTGTCACTTTGGACCACATTAGCATTTAAGATTTGAGTTTTATCCTCGAATTTTGCCTTGACTTGGACAGTACCTAATACTTTTATCATTTTTCATTATATCCAGTTAATTTTGTATCTGATTTATTTAAGATTTTTATTTCAATCTTTCTTGCAATATGTATCGGTAGGATGCTGAATCTAAAACCGTTATCTATCTTCATTAATATAGACACGTCATTCAAATATACTGTAACTTTATATGCATCATTAGCTGTGTTACCATTATCGGCATCCATATTTTTTATGTCCAGATTATATAAATTATATTCTCTTTTCTCTAATTTATCATTATCATCTTCTTTTATCTCTTCTATATTTACAGTGTTTACTTTGTTTGTGTATCGTGATTGATTATTATCGCTGTTATGATATCTACAATTGCATACTTGATTTCTTCCTTGATTTCCAATATTATGATTATTGTTATGTCTTTGAATAAATCTTGAATCTTTATAATGTATGTTATATCTTTAATTATAATCAATATTAGTTATTATAGTTATTGTTATTATAACTAGTTTTATTATCAAATCTTGAAAAATTATTCTACGATCCTGGGTAGTTTGCCCTGACGTTGTTGTAATAACTCGCATTTTCTGATATCTAGGGTTGTAACTATTTCCTTGATAATTATTTCTTTGAAAGTCTTGGCCTCTTGTTGTCCATCGTTGTCTGTTATTGTAATTAGATTGTAAATTTTGTCATTCGTCATGGTCTCCATATCTCATCATCTGATTATTTTCTTCTGTTTTACCTCTTTGCCTTTCTAAATGTTTCATGGTTGTTTCATCTTCTGTTTTTTCGTTTAAAGAAATATTTTCAACTTTAGCAATTATATTTTATATTAATTTGAACTCCTCAAAATAATCTCTTAAAGTAAGAATTTTTGCTAATGTAATGTTTTCTTTTAACGTAATTTTCTGCCTAATATTTTTACTGATTGACGAAATTTTTACTTTTTCAATAACTCCACTATCATTTAGCAAACACTCATTTTTTAAAATGCATATTTTACTTACCCAATTGATATAACTTTCATTTTTACTTTGTACAGCTGCGTTAAATAATAATAAATTCGAACTTGTAGATTTACTCGGGTGTAATAATCTGAATTTTTCAATCAATATCGATGGATTGATGAAGTCGGTAGGTGAACATATCTTTGAGCTTGATATATTCTTCGTCTGGTAGCCTTTTTGTGAAGGATCCAGCTTTTTGGATGCCCGATATCTGGGTATCTTGAATATGTTTTCGAATCTACTTAAAAAAAGATCGCTATTGCCTGATATCGGTAATTCAATATTTATGTTAATATTATTGTTGGGAACCTGCTTCATATTTAATCAAAATTGTTATGAGGCACGGCCCGAAGAGTCGGGTAGGCCCCTCTGCATCATATCGCAGACGACCGGATAAAAAGGAGACGCTCGCCGCCAGGGACAAGAAAGGAAATAGTCCTAGCAAATCTCCTACACCGAATTATTTCTTCCTTCTTTGCTAATCTCTAATCCCCCCAATACCCAACGGCCCTTTTTAGGGCCACCTAATACCCAACAACTCCTTTTAGGGCTACAATCACAAGCACCCACGGGGAGTACTTGTCCGGGCAACGGCCCTCCGGCTAGAAGAGGAGAGCCAGCGAAGTACTCAGACTGCCTAAAAACAATAAATGCTCACCTTAGGGAACTGAGGCATCAAATAATGGCAGGAATTCCGGCAGCTAAAATGACAATAATAATAATCAACCTACTTCCCCTGCCTTCCCGAATCCATTGCCTGCCAGTCGCAAAGCTGACTCGGAGTCGGACGTCCCGTTATTCCTGTCCGAAGACTCAGGAATCCCCGAATGGTGGATTCCAGATGCTACCACAACCTCGTGGTCCTCCAGCAGCAGCGGTGATAGCGGAGTCAGATCCATCATCTTCGAACTCAAGGATTCAATCAACAACGATAATGATTCTGGTACGTGAGCGACTTTCATGGATGTGCAACTCTGCGCACAGCCCAGTCTATACATCAGCAGAGCAAGGCTGACGCCCGGGCCGCTGAGGTCCAGATTTACCAGAAAGGTCGCGACAAGAGGATTTTGCTCTAGACTAGACCACCTTAAAATCAGTCAAAATATTAATCATTACTTAACACACAACAATAACTTCCCTATTTCCAATAGATACAGAGACATCGTTTGCCAGATGCTCGAAGCGGATATTATAGAACCATCGGATGCAAATCAAATCTGTTCACCGCTTTATGTTATCCCCAAAGAAAATGGTGCACCTAGAGTTATCAGTGATTTTTCGGAGGTATCAAAGAACTTCCTGCACTACCCATTCCGCCTCAAATCCATCCCATTCATGTCAGGAAATTTAGACAAAGCCAAATACGCATGTAAAATAGATATTAAAACCACGTTTTTCTCAATCCCGTTAGCACAGCAGGTAAGAAAATTCTTCGGATTCAACATAAATGGCACGAACTACGCATAAAGAGTCCTCCACATGGGAGCGTCCTTCTGTCCATACAGTCTCCAATCCATTATTCTGTGCGTGCGCAAAGACAGTAAGGAGAGCTCACTATAACGTCTATCTGAACGACATATTAATCGACGGCGATAATGCAAATGGCGTTAAATGGTCCACAATATCCCTGAGTTGTACTTTTGAAGAATGGGGCTTAGAGATCTCACAAGAAAAATCCGTATTGGACCCTACACCGCAAATAACATACCTAGAAATCCCGATCGACCTTCAAGCGAAGACCATCAGCGCAGACACAAATACGAGAAAAAGGCTCGAGAAATGCCTGGAGGCATTTAGACGACATGCATATCAACACCTAGAATTAGGTCGTCTCCTCGCAGGCAAAGTATTAGGAGTAGTAAATCACTACTCATGCACCATCATAAAGATGTCTAGATTATTCTCGCCATTCTACATCACCATGAACGAGAGTCAACTAACACCTATAATAGACACATACCTAGCCTTCCAAAAAGCATTAGCTATCATCGAAGCAATGAAGGTTTTGCTTAGCATCAGATATCATGCACGCAACCCAGTATATAAGGACGCTTTCGGATCACATATCGGAATATCTTTTTGGGATATCGATAATATGTCAGTACCTTTCCAGGACTGCCTCCTGTATAATGTCCCATCACATGCTATTGAACATATTAATGCAAAGGAGGTACTCGCAGTAGGCATCGGTGCCATCATGGCGATACACAAATATATCAATATACCGATAATATTTACAGATTCTACTGTGGCTTACTATACCTTTAGAAAATAAATCTCAAGATCTCCTTACATCGAGATAGTAATCACGCTAATACTGCTCAAACTAGGACTCAAAAACTTTACTGCAATCTCCCAGAATATCAAATGGATGCCAACCGATGAAAACTCTGCAGATGAGCTATCCCGAATATGGATGGCCGAAAGGAAGCAACGGGACTTATATTTATTGATTCTACCTTACAAATACCTATACTACTACATAACCAAGAGATATCTCTGTTCGTGAAAAGACAACTCCCTCGATTAGCCAGCTACAATCAACAGCAACTTCAAAGTTTTTGAACACCTAAATGGAATTTTGAGAAGAATCGATTTGATTGCATATAAATTATTTTTTAAATTTAATTAGCCTGACCCGTAGATATATTTTAGACAAGATTCCCATGAAGATTTCATGACCTCTCGGCCAGTTTTAAAAGTAGAAAATTTGGAATACTATTATTTTAATAAAAGGTTATATATCTTTTAATTTTTATACGTTTTAAAAATTCTTGAAGATGGAAGATAGGGGGTGATAATGGGGAATATAAAATTATATTTTATATTTAAAATTTAATCTGCTGAACAGTTTATCATTTTTATAAATTTTTCTAGCGAACTTTCCCATTGTTACAAAATAATCTTTTTTTAAAGGACATGCAAATAAAATTTGGCGTTTTAGAAAAATCGCATAAAATGGAGGCGTTTCTTTAAATATCTTCATTAAGCATTTCCAGATCGGTAATATTTAAGATATTTCCTTCCTTTTTAGAGCGATTTTTTTTAAAAACCTCAACTGAAATAAGTATTACTTTCCTAATATAATATCAATATTATTTTCGAGAATATATCCCAGTTTTTAACTTTACTGAATTTCCCATTTTTGACCTCACGCGCTCCATAAGAATTACTAAATACATTTCCCACTTTTTTGGAAAGGTGATAAAAACTGATGTAGTCCATGTGGTAATATTCAGTTATTATTATTCAAATGGTGATAATATTCAAACAAAGGTGATGTTTTATTTAAATTATTTAAGTCTTAGACTATGCAAATGAGATGAAAACGCTAATTGTTGATTTTTTATAGTTTAAGGGTTTAACAATTGGAGTTATTCACTTTTTATTTTTTAGTTATAAATTTTTTAATTTTTATACTTTTTCTTTTTAATTTTTATTTTACAATTTCATTTTTTTTAACTTTAAATTTTATTATGTTTTCACTGTAATTTATTTATAATTATGCAATAAAGTTATGGTTATATATAAATTTTGAGACAAGAACTTAATATAATATTTTTTTAAATTAAAATGATTTTATAAAGTCCAATTATATATAGGAAAATAAGTCACAAAATAAAATGGTTGTGAATTACATTTAATTTGTTATTTCTCAGTGTTACTTTTGATTTGAAGTTTTATAGTTTCAGATAATATATTTAATCCTATTAAATAAATATTTAAAAAAATCTATTTTGGGGGGTGGGGAGAGGGGTGGGGGTGGCTAATCTCCCTTAGAATACGTTAATTTTTATATCCCTCGACAAATATTGCAGATAGAAATCCTGAAATCCCTATTTCCCAACATCATAGGATTTTCCATCCTATGTTTATCAATCTTTTCACCTATTTAGGTTATATTTAGATTAAATTACAAATAATTTGAGATTAAGATGTATAATATTAAACTAGTTATTAATATAATTACAAGGAAAACGGCAAAATGCGAATAAGGTCATATCCGAAGGCCGTCTCGATTTGACCTTAATCGCATTTCATTATTTTAAAAAAAACTAATTTCATTTCTCATATCCCATTTAATCAAGTTATTTATATTTATGGAGGAATATTATACGTCAGCTTTATAAAATAATAATTATTTATATTCAATTATAAAATATTATTGTAGTAAACCTAAACTTTATAATTTTACTTATACTATATTTGGTTATAATTTATAAATTAGATTTCGTAAATTTTTTAAATATCGGTGGAAAGTATTATAAAAAATTTCCCAATAAAAATATCTTCCCGAGTGGCATGATACTGACATGGCACTATAAATATTCTCGGTGAATCTATTTATATCATGATGGTATTTTTTGAATAATATTTTTAAAAACATTAGTCATTAAATTATAAATATATAATAATAATTAATTAGTTAATATATATGATTATAACAATATTATATAACAATTATAAAAAAAAGAGTTCATCTTACGATATATGCAAGATAAATAAATGGATGATAGTTATTAATATTATATTAAATTCCAAAAATCGAAAAATATAATTATACTGTTTTATGCCTTTTAGGGACATTATTTTCTGTAAAATATGCAATTTCAAATGATACATATTTTTGTTATAATTATAATAGTGATAATCAAGTATTATAATGTATACGCCTCCACTTATCTAAATAAGTATTAATATTTAAAATTAGTTAGAACGATATCTCAAGACATTTAGGTTATATAAATTAAAATATGGTCTGGCCTAGGTATAAGATCAACGTCAACCAAAAAATCAGCTCATTATATTGATAATAATGTAAATGGGACAAATATTATAATTTTTTATAAATTTATGCGAGATAAATTATGGTTTGAGGAGAAAATGTTTTTTTTCTATAAAATATTATAAATTTTATTTCAAAAATATTTTCGTTACAAAAATTTAAAAAATAATTAATGTTTCTTAATAATTTATATAAAATGTTTTTTTCAAATAAAATAATTTAATATATTGCACTATATTTTTTAAAATTTTTACAATAGTTTTTTTACAAAATTTTTTTTTATAATATCGTATAATATGTTCATCTTCATCCCGAAGTTTCTAATCTAAAAGAAAATATTCGTCTCATAAGTAAAACCAAATTTCATATCAATTTTATTTGTGAATTGTTAAAAAAAATGAAAAATAAATTTAAAAATAGTTGAAAAATTAATTAAAAATTAGGTCAAATAATGAAAAACTATTATTTGTTAAAAAATTTTCTTACTATTTGTTTCAAATCGAATCATCTTGTTATTAATATTCGTAAAATAGAATTTGTAAAATATCAATTGAATAATTTTGATAATTATAATTCTGGGAACAATAGTGATATTTCCTCAATTTTTAGAGATTTTTTAAAAAATCAATTTAAATACAAGTGTTTTCTTCCTAACATCTATTAATATTATTTTTAATATTTTACTTTTAAAATTTTCTAGGAGTTATAAGCAAAATTATAAAGATTTAAAACCTCTCCCAATCTCCGCTATATTTATTTAAAATGCCTAAAATAAAATTTCAGAATTGTAATAATTATAAATGCGAATTAATTTTTTTCGACATTTAATTAATTACAATCATTAAATACAAAAAAGGTAATGTATTCTATATTCTAAGTACTTATTTAAATAATTATTGTTCAATCCTGTCGCAATAATTATTTGAAATTAAAAGAGTTTAAAAAATTACCTATAAAATTGATTTTTCTGAAAAAACCGGATTAAGATTTTGGCCAAAATAATATTATGAGAGTCTAGAGATTTTGTTTTTAGATGGCAAAATGGTTTGAACTTTTATTTGCCAAATTTTAAGGCTTACATAATATTATTTTGGCTAAAATCGTAATCGAGCGGTTTTTAAAAATTAACTCAAACCGGGCCGTTTAACAATACCACTTCTAAAATTTGATTCTAATGATAACCAAACAATATCTAGCTAATAAATTTATCAAAAAATGAATATATTAAAAAAAGTATGAATAATTATAACATATTATACATACAATTAAGGATTTAAAATCTAAATTTAGACTTAGAGTTAGAAATAAATTTTACCAAAACTTGAATAAATATGTGATAAAATCATAAGTTGAGAAATATTATTTTCGCAAATTAGGAAAGGATATGAAAAGAAACAATGATAAGATGATAAAATAGTTTAAAATATTTATTTTTATAAAATTTTTTATTACTATTTAAAGGTCAATGATAATTATTATAATTGTTTATTTGTATTCGATTCGAATGGATAATTTAATATTCGCATTTAATACTATTTGATTTAAATTATTTAAAACGAATTGAATATTCTATTCGGGTGCTAAATCATTTAACTTTATAACAATTTACTAAATAAAGCTCTGAATTTTTTTAATATATATAAGTCCCCATTTAAAATATATATTAACGGAGGGATTACTTAGTCCAAATGATGTCCTGACTTTATCTATTATATACATACCTGATGACACAGAAATATTGGTTAGTTTCAAACCCAGTCCAACCGGGGATCAGTCTTCCTCAATCAAAGCCTACTTTAGCAGTTAAGCCATTCGAAAACAACAATTTTTTAGTATATAATGATTTTATATAAATTTTTATCATAAAAAAAATAATAATTTTTTGTTAAAATAAGAAAATTATATTGTAAATTTAAATTAAAAATTTTTGAGAATAATATTGGTTATTACTAGCGATGCCATCACATCATTAAAAAATTTTTTAATAACACTTATTTATAACTCTGAAAACAAAAAATTTTAACGAATTTTCTATCGGTATTATGAAATTTCCAAAAAAAACATTTCAATTAAATTTTCATATGATATTCTGATTCTGAATAAAGAATAATTTGGGAATATAATTTCTTGACTTACTTTAAATAAGAATAATGAAATAATTAGAATAATATAACAATAGCTAATTCTTAATGTTAATAATGCCATACCTTAATTTTCATTCTATACCTAACTTTTATTTTGGTAAATTTTGTTTTTTAAACCATTTTTGATAAAAACATGCCTCCATATTGTTTTATTTATTAGTAAAAGTTGTTTAAAAAAATTGGTATTTATTTTAAAATCAAAATTTAATTTTTAATATATTAAAAACTGGTAACTAGTAATATTTGTTTAAAAGATTTGTAAAATAAATAAGGGTTTAAATATTTAAAAAAAAAACAAAAATACTAAGGTAGATACGATTTTTAGATAAACAAAATTAAATTATATGATATGAATCATTATACAAATAATTATTTTAAACTTGTCTATACTTATTTATTTTATAAATTATAAGGAATAGCATGAAACAATTAACAAAATAATGATTGGGGGAGTTCCTATCACTTTTCAGCAATCGAATTTTTTCTGTGTATTAATGTGCTCTATATACATTTACGTATCTTATGCTTATATGCAAAATGATAAAGAACTCGTTATATTATCGCCAAACCAAAAATTGCAAGTTGGAAGCGTGGCATATTTCAATGGATCATCTCAGATAATTTTATATAAATTCTTGGATTTGTGGTCTGGCGTTTCTTTCTCATTTAGAACTTGTTCGAACAAAGGAATCATTTTGAGATACAATAGTAGTCAATATGCTGATTCTTCGTCGTCTAAATACGAAAATAGTTTGATCAATAATAATGATGATAATAGCAAAACGGAAATTAAAAATTATAAGCTCTTTAGGAGAAAAAATGGTAAGAATATGAAAGATAGATCCAACACAAAATTTTTCAACAAAATTTATTTGGAATTGCAGCTAAACAAATGGGGATATATCAACGTATCAGTAATCTTGAATACGAATTGGATCAAGGATATCAATGAAAATTTTTTATTGAATACAATATTACCCGTGGACGATAATAAATGGCACTCCGTTGAAATGAGATTTAAAAATAGTATATTATATATTTTTTGCACATATAAAAAAAAATATGAACAAGAATCAGACCGGAGACCTAAAACTGGTCCGATTTTCGTTTAGGACCTATAGAACCGAAGCTTTTCTAATTATAATTACTACTTATTTTTATTAACATAGCCGACTTAGTTATAACCATAGATCACGTTATACACCAAAGTATCAATTTTGGAACTGAAGTAAAACCATTTACGTTCGATATTATTGACAATGATATATTGCCATTTATCGAAATCGGCAAAAAATTTATAGGATGCATTCAACAAGGTGCCAATATAGTTTTTAATTCTCAGGAGTTAGCTAGCAAATATATTGTGTGGGATAAGTGCTTGCTTGAAGAAAAGGAGTGCGGTAATTTTTAATATATGTCTTTTTTCGTCTTTTTAGTTCAAATTTTTTTTTTATATAATTGAATATAACTCAGAGACCTGCAGGCCCGCCCGATTTTTTTTATAATTAAGCCTGGCCTATAAATTTTTTTTTAAATAACCGGGCTGGGTCTAGAAATTTTTTCTTAAAATAACCTGGCCAGGCTTGAAAATCTCAAACCCGGAAAAAAATCCAGACTAGGCCGTGCAAATCATCAATTTTCTACGGCCAAATTTAACCATTTTTTAAATATACTAATTATGGCCCATATTTCACTAACCTTTTAACCCTACCCTCTTCGTAGCTAACTTCTCAAAAGTTTAGTTTCAGGAAAAAAATTTAACAGAAAAATATTCCAGGCCAGTATCAAACCCTATATTATCCATATGTGGCAGTAGCTATGGATCAAAAAAGAAGTAAAATACATATTCCTTTAACACTACCATAGTTACTTGCTAAAATAAGCCGCAACCTGAATTGTATAGGCTACAATGTTATTGAAAGAAAAATTTCCCCCACATATTATTTAAATAAAATTGGTTCTTTAAAGCAAAAATAAGTTAAACGTGTAGAGATTCTTGTCATTTATATAGAAGAGGGGGGGGGGGGGGGTAGATTTTAAATAATAAAAATTCCAGGCTTTTATGTTTCATTATTAAAAGTTGTAAAGTGGTGATATTTGTTTAAGGTATACAGAAAAAATAATAACCCTCGAGGATTAATTGATAAATAAAGGAATAGTTAATAAGAAGTTTTCCAATTCTTCAATAATTTATATAGACAGATGAAAAAAACTTTTGGTCTTATTTAAAAATTGTGTGTTCTTTTGTCTAGTTAGTGGAATTATGGAGTTTGCATCTTATTCATATCATTAAATCAAGTGAGAATTAGCACATATATATTAGATGGTGCCCAAAATATTTGTAAGTTTTCAACAATGGTAATTATACTATGCATCGTCATTTATTTTAATGAACTTTCAGACATAAAGAGTTTGTTGCTATAATTTCCCTAGTAGAAAGATTCTCAATATACATATTTTTTTTATTTTCTTTAAAATTTTTTATGGCTATTTCAAAGATATATGAAACGGAATAAATTGATATTTGAATAAGAAAATAATTGTTAATAACAAAATTATCCATAATTAAATAACATTAAATTAACATGGATTTTTTTTTCCTAAAGGGATAGTTTTTAAGAAAATTTTTTATAATTAATAATGCAAAATTTATAAAAAATTTTAAGGATAAATATAGTGATTTACTATCAATAATTTTAATACTATATAGCAAAAAAAAATCCCATTATAAATGCTTTTATATTATATGTCTTATTAGGATATGGATTATGAAAAGGTGATTAATAATCTTGATTTTAAATCGTATACTGAGCACTGCTTTTTTTAAAATCTGATAAGAGAATATTTTAACATGTGTAGAGAACCTAACCTACAAGTTAAGACAATTCTGAAGTGAACAATTACTTATTTTTATTTATATAAAAATGAATGTAAATTCAAAAGTTCCCGAATAAAATTGTCTGAAATTTATAGTGTAGGGTACTAGATATGCCGGTATACATTTCCGGTCAAATCAAAATTTTAAAAATCGCCCTCAGTAAATAATTTAAATCTGAGAGATTCCGAATCCCATATTTCAATGCGTCATTATATATTAAACTAACTAGTTGTGCGTCAAGAATGATATCACAATTTTATTCTAAAATAAACCTAATTTTTTAGATTAACATTATAAGATTGAAATTGAACCTTTATGAAATAATTTATTGGTTCGCTTATATATAATTAAACAATTTATAAAGATAAATTTTGTTATATTTTAAAATTTAAAAAATACATTGTGAAACCTTAATATAGTGATAAATGGAGGATGGTTCATTAGTCGACAACCATATGCATACAGAAGGTGGCACGGTATAGAATATAATTGATTTTTAAATCTATCTCAAGGGATTGAACTAAAGCGGGAACTATAAGAAGGAGAAGGTCAATATGAAACTAAAATAAATAAAAAGAACATCACAATTGAGAACAACCAATCAATTTTATTTTAATTTTTAAGAAAGAAATGGAAATTGTCAGAATACAGAGGCATAACATTACATTCATTCTAGAGTTAGGTGTGAAATTAAGAGAAAAAAAGAGCTAAAATAAATATATAATAGAATATATGAAAACTTATAAATCTACTACCATCCCCAAACCTTAAATTTTCGTGAGTATCAATTGATTCAAAGCGAAATATGTATTTAATTCGCCATCTATTACAAATTTTGAAACAGCTCCTTACATTATATATAATAAGGTATATAATTTTATTTTTAGGATAAGTTGAGACCTAGTTTTAAAGAATACATCATTTTCATTATCCCCGCTGAATCAAATAAAAATGTTAACGGTTTCAAAATTTTGTCGAACAAAAAACATTATATTTTTCTAATTACTTATTAAATTGGATTAATTAATTTAAAGTTTAAAATATTTAACAACTATAATATTTGAAATTAATGTGGCTCAAGGTCAAGTCAAGGTCATAGGTGCCTTAATTTTTAAAAATATTAACTAACTAATATTTTTTATTGTCTTAAAAAAATGAATATAATAAAGGAACTAGGGATTTTTTTCTTTGAGGAACGATATAAATATTTAAAATGAAGGATACATATAATAAACACCAAAAGTTTATGGTTTACAATCGATAAAATATTAAAGCTAATGTTGTTAAAAGTTAATTTTAAAAAATAACAAATTACTTGCTTAAAAATAGTTACATACGTTACTTTATTAATTATTCATATGACAATTTAAATAAAGAAGAAAACATATTTATTTGCAAAAATATTAATAATAACTATAATATTTATTTTTCATGAAAATTTGGGTTAGATGAATTTTTATTTGACTCTATTAACAATAAACCATTTTCAAAATTCGATTAAAAGGTGTGCTCGTTTATATCCAAAAATAAGTCTCCCGACTAGATAAACCTTCTACAGGAGCGCTTGATGTAAATGAATTATATTTAATAAACACTAATTTTAAATTTGGGAAATGATAATATAAATAAAGTAATTGAAACATATAAATTATTTTATATATTTTAAATTGTAACCTTCCTTACATTCCAAAATACGTTATATTTTTTTCAAAAAGAAATAGTTACAATTATTTTTGCGTAAAAACTAGATAATTTAACAACATTAGTTAAAGCGTATTTCAATCACATTGAAAATCTTTCACTATCGCCTATTGCATAATCATTTAAGCTAATTTACCAATTTTGGAACTTATATTTTGCAGTATATGCGAATTTAATGTATTTTAATTTTTAGGCTCAACGTATTTTTATATGTCTGTGTTTACAGCGAAATTAGTTTCATTTCGCTTAGTTCGAGTTTGAAGGAGATATTAGTCAAAGTATAACATCGACAAGGGAATTAATTAAATTATTAACACTTTTTATTTTATTTCAAATGGCGTGTAAAGTCATCTATTTAAGCCTAATAAAAAAAACATCTCCCAAAAAAAATTTATTTAATTGACCGATATAAAAACAAAATAAGTTTCCTTTTCTATTTTGTCACTTATATAAATTTATATATATAACAATAAAGATTTGATATTATTTTACAAATCTTTTTATTTTGGATTTTCCCCTTTTTTTGGCCAGAGGAGGTGGGTAAGGGGGGGGGGGGTTGACAGTACTTTTCTGAGTTCAGCATTCTAATATTGAGATACTTAAAAATATTAGGAGTTAAAAATAAAACTTAATAATCATAATGGCTTTATTCTTTAATAACATAATTTTTAAATAAAGTAGTTGTATAAGGGTGAGATCACTATTTAAGTTAAGGTCATATATAAGTTAATTCTAGTAAACTTTTTTTATAAATGAAAATTTCAGACTAACAAATAATAAAATTCAGAAAAAGCAAAGCACATAACCAGAAATTGGCTAAAATGATATATAAATAAATAAAACTATATGATATAAGTAAAGTAGGTTTCAATTTTAAAAGTAGTATTTATAATATCAGATGATATCCACCGAAGTTACGACCCTGGGCAATAATATACAACATCAACTATATTTAATAATTCATAAGAACCTTAAAAAGTATAAAATACATTCCGCATATATTAAAATTTGTTTTATTTAAATCATATTAATTGTATCTAAAGAACATTGTACAGCAGTCAATAATTATTGTATGAATGGAGGGAAATGCATATCTAATAGCAGTAAAGAATATTGCCTTTGCAATGAAGGATACCAGGGAGAAAGATGCGAGTTATTGACTCCTACAAACCCATGTAATCATTCGCCATGTTTAAACAAGGGTCTCTGTCTTTTTAATTTTTCGTTTGGAAACTTTAGCTGCCTATGTACCAAAGGTTTTTATTTTGAAAAAATTATAAAAAAATTAATGAAAGGCACATTTTCAGATTGGGTAAATAAATTTTTCTAAAATTTATTTTTAGGATACGAGGGAGATAATTGTGAAAAAAATATCAACGAATGCGATTTAGAATCTTGTCTAAATGGAGGAACTTGCGCCGATATGGATGGATCCTTTAAATGCACTTGCCCTCCTCCATTCACTGGGAGCGTGTGTGAACTTTATAACAATCCATGCTTATCAAGTAATATAAAAAAATTAAATTAAAGTGTCATTGTAATTAATAATGAACATATTCATTAGAACCGTGTAAAAATGGGGCCACTTGTGTGCTTGTTCAGAATCAATATCAATGCCAATGCACATCTTTATATTCTGGAGTCAATTGTGAGGTACCTGTATCACAATGCAAGTCCATATCATGTCCACCTAATTCATACTGCGTTAAGACAAATGGCGAGATTAAATGCAAATGCCATAATACCTACACCGGTATTTTAATTGCAACTTTATAACATAAAGGCTATTTTGTTAATAAAATATAATTAAAAGTGTTCAAAATAAAATCTGGCATTATAAGAAATTTTTTTAAAAATATTTTCCAATAAAATGATGTATCCCTGTTCAATATTTAATCTTAAAATATTTATTAATTTCTCTAAAATTAAACAAGAACTCTATAATAAAATTATTTCTATATAAAACAATTTTATTAAATACGTTTTTTTTCGACTTAAAAAAAAATAACTATTAGGAAATAATTGTGATATAGATGTGAATGAATGCGAATCAAAAATAAAACCTTGCCAAAACGGTGGGCAATGCATGAACCAAATAGGCGATTATAAATGTGTCTGCTCATCTGATTGGATGGGAAAAAACTGCAGCCAAAATTTTGATCCATGTGCCAGTGATCCATGTCTTAACCAAGGTGTTTGTATGAGTCATATCGGAAATTCCACAGAGAGTATTTTTAATATTTTGAATGAAATTTAGTTATTTCGATTTGATATTTCTGGGTTTAAACTTTATATTTCAACTTTTTCAAAGAATAAATAATAATTATTAATTTATTAAATTGGTTAGAAATGTGATTTTAAATATATAAAAAATAATAATTAACTACTTATACAGGGAAGAATTATGAATATAATAATGAAAAAGCATTGATTGAACAATATGAATGTGTTTGCAGAGATGGATATGAAGGCAAAAATTGTGAAGCAAATATTGATGATTGTCTAGGTGTGCTTTGTCCTCCGGGGAAGATATGTAGAGATAGGTATACTATTTCGAGATATCTAAGATGGCTTATTTCGAATATTCGTTAAATATTTTTTTAAGACTTTGGAAATCATATTTTTTGATATTAAATGTTTGCTAAAATTCAAAAGTGGTAAATGTATTATATTTACTTTCTTCTTAACCCATATGGGTTTTTGGAGGAATTCTTCTAAATGTGAAATATTTAATTGGTTAAGAATCACTTATCTATTATGGCGGTATTAAATACATAAAAAGCCATTTTAATAATTTTAAATTGTGTATAAATAAGAATCAGGGATGTGGAACAAAACTTGAGCTTTATGGAAAACACTCAAGATTTTTAAAAGAAGGATTGAAGAAAATTTCCGAATATTCAGAAGATTTGAGAAAAAATTGGCCAAAATTTTTTAAAAACAGATTTGGAATATAAGGATAATGAGCAATTTTTAATTTTTGTCAAAAATATAAAATATATTTTTCTAATTAAAATATTATATCCTATGATTTTTATTTTCTAAAAAATTACTTTATTTTATTAATTAATTAATATTAACCTACACTTTAAAAATAACATAATCTTTGGAATAATTATCGCTTAAAGACCCTATTTTATGACATCGCGGGCGATCTAATTTTTTTTAAAATTTTGGTCAAAAATGAATAAAAATAAAAGCTAAAAATATCACCTGAAAATAGCCAGGAAAACATTATGGATATTGAGCCTAAATGTAAATTCAAATTAGACTGGAAATATCTTATTATGTTTATAATAATTTTGTAAATCACCCTGCCTGCAATTTTAAAATAGTTATTGATATGAACCTAATATAAAATTGATTTTTAGTTTATACATATTATATTTTTTAGTCTACAAATAATCACAATGTCCATATTTCTACTTTTCCATTTTTTTTTGTTTGAAACATTCCTTTAATTTGGGATTTTGTATTTTCACAATTCAACTTTTTTTTTTGAACTTTTTTTATATTATGATTGAAAATTCTTACTTTCAAATTGAAACTTATTTCTTTTTAGATAAAAACTTTTCATTTTTTGATTGAAAATTGTTCCATCCTAAAGATAAAGCCCTGTATTAATTAATATCAATGCATTCGTTTGTAACGAAAATTTAAGGATTAAATCGATTCTAATTTTGCGAAGATATAAATGTTGAAATTTGTCAATTTCTTTGGCCCGACTCGATTTAATTTTTTCTTCCAATTTCAAACCCAGCTTTGGTTTGATTTTTTATCATTTTAAGTCTGAGTTTTTTAGTTTGATCATTCGAAATAATTTTTGTGAGTGGTCTCAAAGAGATTATTCATCACCTAAATTTTAACTGTCGGCCCAGGCTAGGCTTGATTTTCCCTTTTAAATATATTGCCAAAAAATTTTTAATTTTAAAACCTAACCCAGATTTTTCAAATCATATATTTCACGGTACTTTCTTATGGAAAGGATACTGAGAAATATCTTCAGGTCTCTGACAAAAGAAAATTATTTTATGAGTATATTGTTAAAAATAAATGTATATACTTCAACAAATATAATTTATAAAATTGTATTTGTATATTATATAATCATTATCTAATTAAACATTCGTATAATAAAGATTAGGATATTTCCAATGCGTATGTCCAAAGGGATATGAAGGGCCTAATTGCAATGTAAATATAAACGATTGTGAACCTAACCCATGTCATAACAATGCCCTATGTATTGATCAAATAGACGATTTTACTTGTAAATGTCCCAGCGGTTATAAAGGTTTGTTATGTGAAGAAGATATAGATGAATGTGAAGCAACAAATATTTGCAAAAATGGTATAGTTTTTAAAATTTAACTCCATTTAATTTAATAAAGAAAATGTTAGGAATTTGTTCCAATAGCTTTGGTACCTATTCATGCTATTGTATCCCTGGGTTCACAGGTAAGCATTGTGAAATTAATTTTAATGAATGTGCCTCGCAACCTTGTTATAATGGAGGAACTTGTAGTGATTTGGTCGATAAATATGCTTGTTATTGCAAATCAGGTTTTAATTATCACATTTAAATATAAAAGACAATGTATTTTTTTATGGGACTTAAATATATTTTTATGTTTATAAACTATTTTTACGTGGTTGTTTATCCTACAAATCCATCAGTAGCATTCGACTCTACTCGATTTTATCCATACATCTTTATAAATCTTATTTATCCATTATTTCTTTCTATCATTTTGATGTTTTTCTCTTCCTTCGTTTATTTATCGAAGTCAACTACCATAATTTTTTTTACCAATTTTGAGCAGGATTGGAATCACATTCACTGATATCCCCTTTTCGTGCTCAATCATTAAACCATAACAACTGGCTATAAATTTAACCTATTTTTTAAAGTATAAATTATGTCAATACTCTAAGCAAATTACGACCTCCCCCCCCCTCTAGGCTAGTTATAAATATAATATTTTAGATTTTAGAATTCATTGCTGTTATTATTCAAATTCTAACAGTTTATAAATTTTGCAAAAAACGGAATAGTTCCTTGGTATTGGTTATAATATAAATATTAAATATGTAAATATAAGTTTAATTATGCTTACCAATTCACGATTAATTTTTATAGAATTATCATTTTTAGGTAATTTTTTCTTATAAACAATCTATAATCCACAAGATAAAAATCTAAGTGAAGTGAATGAGAAAAATAAAACAAATTTTTCACGCGGACAGATAAATATAGATTTGAATCGCCTTATATTTAAAAATTATTTAGATTTGGTTAAATAAAATGAAATCAATTTATTTAATTAACCTAAACCGCTATTTTTAAAAATGTCGAATATATTTAAAAAAAGCCATATTTCTAAAAAATAAATTTTGTAATTTTTTTTCCAGATTAGTACTAGTTCTGCTCCCCATGTATTTCCTACCGATTATTTAATCATTTCAATAGCCATGACAACTTGTAGATTTATTTTGGAATACTATACTATACCATTTCTTCTAGTTGTTACCTAAATTTTATATTTTGAATTTTAATATTATCATATATATTATATTAAGGATTTACTGGTAAGGATTGTGAGATCAATATTGATGAATGTTCTTCCAATCAATGTTTAAACAATGGAAATTGTACGGATCTTATTAATGGATTTAAATGCATATGTCAACCAGGATTTTCTGGAAATTTATGTGAAGAAAATATTGATGAATGTTTAAATCATCCTTGCCTAAATGGAGGAAAGTGCATCGATAAAATAAACAGGTAAAATATATACTTAATAAAGGTTAAAAACATCAAACACCTTAATTATTTTAAATGCTTATTTCATTACCAACAACTATTGCCATCTTATAATGGTTAAGAAAATATATTTATACTTTTAATAATAATTATATATTTAATTTGATATATAAGGTTTGAATGTAATTGCGAAAACACTGGTTATCAAGGACGTTTATGTGATTTAGATATTAATGAATGCCAAACAAATCCTTGTCATAACGACGGAATTTGTATCAATCTACAAAACGATTATAATTGCAATTGTGTAGATGGAGTTGAAGGAAAGAATTGCGAGATAGATATAGACGAATGCCTTTCTCAGCCCTGTTTAAACGGCCTATGTCATCAAAGATTTATTAACACATGTATAGAACATTATATTATTAATTTTAAATATATTTTACATAAAATAAATTAGAGAGCTTTATATTTATATAAAATATGATTTTTAATTCAAAATTAAAGCGCATTGAGTTAAAGCTTGTTGTAGTAATTTATTTTCTTATATATTTATTCATCTAATTCTACAATAAAATTTTAAAAGTAGGAAGAAATGAGGAAAGAATAATTATATAGGTTTTATGATAATTACTATTTAAAAGTAAAATATAAGGTATTCAATCTGTTTAAAAATTTTAAATGGATTTTTTTTTTGAAATTCATGACTCATTAGGCCAATTAAAATTTTTTTTATAAAGGTTAATTAATATTTTGGGTATCTTTCTGGAAAAAAAAGTAATTCAACCTAAAATTTGCGGAAAAAAATTATATCTAAAAAAACAATTATTTCAGGCGGCTCAATTTTTCAAGGGGGGGGGGGTGGCATTCCATGCGAATTTCCAAACAATACTACTGATTTTAATGATATATTATAATTTATCTTCTGATTGATATTGGTTTAATTGCAATTAAAAATGTTTACATGGGGAGACTAAGGTAAAACGGTCGGTATTTTGAATTTTTATCATAAAAATTTTAAACAGAGTCAATGTGTAGCCCAATACCTTACTTACAAAAATAAAAATATAGTGGTCTATCTAAAATACTTTTAGAGGGTTATAATTTTTTATGTAAAATGTGACATTTTCGCAATTTTAACAATTGCCAAGGGTGAGATGGCTAAGCACCAGGGTAAAGTGGTTCAAGTTAAATTGAACCCAACATTATTCTTTAATTGAACAAATATAATCAATTTTATCGTTTATCTATTACTTTTAAGTAACTATAAACAAATCAATACAATAAAATAATGTAAAAAGAGTTGTGAAAATTAGCATATTCTGCGTGCCCATTTTTAGAACATCGTATATTTAAATTATTCTTCACCTTAGCAACTATTCTTTAAATGTTTATTCCATATAATACAAACTATTATTAATGTTCCATTTTGCTCAAAAATGGAGTAGTTAATATTTTAAAATTCTTTTTTTACAATTATAGAAGAAACATTTCAAATAAATTTTGATAAGAGCCTAGAGGGTAATTTTTATAATTTAGGGGGGGGGGGTGGAGGGGGACGATTTTTTGACAAAATATATCAAACCAAATATTTTCTTAATGATGGACATATGTAAGAAATTATATATACTAATATATCTTACTACCAAATTTAAGGTCTTTATGTTCTAAGGCTAAAAATTTATCCGCTTTAATATTGTTCCGCCAATCATCTTACCCAGGTCTCCTTTTTATTACTTTTTAAAAAAATTCAAACCAAAAAATATATAAAATTGAGGTAGGATTTATAGCATTGTAAGCGCGATGTTGATCTCCATGGCGATATATTATTTCCCTAATCACTATGGAAAGACCTATTTTCGAACTTACTACAAATGTTGCAGGCTAAGATAGATTTAATATACTATTTAATTTTCCTTAAATTAATTGCTTCAAAATCTAAAATATAAATTAGACTTTTTTAACGTATTGATTTTAATATATAAAATTTAGCCCTGAATGAATTGGACGGATCAACAGTCTATAAGATGACACCTATTGCTGGGTATGACTGCAAATGTAATCCTGGTTTTAATGGTACAAATTGTGACATAAATATTGATGACTGCGTCTCCAATCCATGCTTACATGGTGCTTGCATTGACAGAATAAACGATTTTCAATGTGCATGTGATTCGGGATATGAGGGAAAATTGTGTGATATCGAAATCAATGAATGTTTTAAGTAAAACACCATATCTACAATGTTAACTTTAAAACAATTATTTAATCTTATTAAGAGCTGATAAATAGGGTTTAAATCCAATCCAAGCGTGGCATAATTTTCTCTAATTTGGCTCTGCGACCTAAAAAATTGGGCTTTAAGAATTCCAGCGTTTATAATAAAAATAGGGGTATAAGATTAAGATTTTCTTCTGATTAAAAATTGTTTTTTAAAATTAATATATAATAGGTTATATATATTTTTTAAAAATATTTTCAAATGATAGTTTAAAACCTTGTTTAAATGGGGGAACTTGCAAAGATCTCGTGAATAATTATACATGTAAATGTACTAAAGATTATTCCGGGAGAAATTGCGATATCAGACTTAAAGGATGTGTTGATCATTTATGCCCCGAAAAAACTGAGTGTAGGCCATATTTAAAAAATAATAACGAGCATCTTTATGAATGTCATTGCTTACCCGGGTTTTCTGGTAAAAATTGTGATATTGTTACCCTTGTGTCTTATTTTGGGACGAATTATTCATATGATAGTAACATGAAAATGAACACTAGTCAAAAAAATATATTAACATCTACTGAACAAATCGAAGTAGGCAAAATCAATCGAAATAATATGGGGTCATTAAATTTAATTGTCATTGAAAAATCAAACAACACAACATTTGATACTAAAATTATGACGTCGACCCCTAATGATATAGGCATAACAAATGAAAATTCATCGTCAAATTATTCGATATTTTTGTCAACACCGCGTCGAAAGAGAAGCTTAGCTACAACAAATGAAAAGCAGTTGACCATATCTTCATCCTTTATCCGAGTTCCTTTATCTGCAACATCAGCTTATAATGGCTATGATCATAACTGGAGTTCTGAAGATAAAATGGAAAATCATTATTCTTTAAATCTATACTTTCAGTTTACTACCACATTAAAAACTACAAACCTTCTAGATATTATTAATGAACCATATGCTAACGAGAATGATTTTCATAAAGGTCACGAAAAACAAAGTTTATCTTATAATTATATCAATCTCCGAATTTTAGATGGTAAATTAATCGCTTCGTCGTTTATTTATTCTTCTAATACAAGTTCAAATCTTGATAAAACGGATGAAGAACTATTCCAATCAAGTATATTTTATTATTATTCAAAACTTTGACCATTATTATATAATAGGTAATTTTGTGGACAGGTTAGATTGGCAAACTGTGATTATCAATTTTACAAAAAGTCAATTTATAATCGTTTTGGAAAATGAAGAAAATATCATACCAATGAATATTAAACATCCGATTAGTTATATACAATTTGGAGGAACAGAAGCAAGCAATCTTATGTTCTCAGTGAAAAACTTTATTGGATGCATGCGAGTTATATTATAAATAAAATATTTTGGAATCATATTCCTCTTTAAATTATTTTTTAAAATTTTTGTTTGCGCTGTAAGGGCAATTCTTCACGATTAAAGATTCACAATGTAACCTTATTATTTTAGATGAATGCAAATGCTAGCACCTATCCTAAATTTTAAATCCACGCTATTATTTTAGTGATTAAAAAATTTATATTAACCTTTGTCGTAATCAGCATGTGTTTAAATTTGGATAGATGCATTCAAAGGTGCTCATTATACCTTTTCCTAAGAGGGAGGCTGGCATACATATTTTGGGGCATTGTGCTAGAAATCACTTAATGTGCGTTAATATAATTATATCATTATCATATAAGTTAAAACTGTTTAGCTGAAGCCTTATTATTTTTTCTTGCTATAAATAAACTAAATATTTACTTCTTCTATGAAATTAGGTAGATATAGTTATATAATATTAGCGCGATTTAAGCTAAAAAATTATGATCATTTTTTTTCTCTAGATTGGCATATGCCCCATTTGACCATGCCAATGGATGCATGCAATTTGCATGAATCTGACAAAATTTACTTCAGAAATGCAAAAGCCAATTATTATAATAAAAGATTCTATTACTTTATTTTTAATTATTATTTTTATATAAATTATGTGATTCAAGGACTTTACTTTATTTTTAAATTTAAGGATAGTAGTACTAATAATAATATATTTTCAACATTCAACGTGTAAATCAATATTAATAGTTTATATTATTTCTAAAGATCTAATTATGAATAAAAATATGAGAATTAATAAAATTTATAATTATCTTTATAATGTATTTAAATTAATTTAGGATATAAATGTAAATGAAAATTTAATAATGCCTGGATACAAGGATATTATTTCTAACAAAGTAGAAAATTCGTGTAATAGGTTAAAGCAATGTTACGAAACAAGCTGCTCTGGTAACGGACAATGCGTCGATAATTGGTATTCTTATTCTTGTATATGTCATCGACCACATCATGGACATGATTGCAAATTAAGTGAAAATAATTCTAATTTAAAATAATTTATTAAGTTTATTGTTTTTTTTATCTACCATGTTACTTTGTCTAATTTTTAAATATCATTGAGGACAAAATTTAAAATAAGCCATCCCAAAGATAATGACAACTTTTAAAAAAAAGTAATTTGATGACCAAAATATTTTAAATGAAGAACGGGGGGGGGGTTCAACTTATCTCTATTTGATTTATTAGATATGATTAAATGGAAACACTTTTATTTATTTTTAAATCATGATTCTTTAAACCTTTTTTTTAAACTAAAGATTACGATGAAATCACGTTCAATCACGAAAAAAACAAAAGTTTTCTACTAGTTTCAAAGAATAAAAATCAAAATAATCAGTCCTTAATATCAGACTTGGATATCTCTTTTTTTATAAAAACCCGCGAAAAAAACGCGTTTTTGTATTTAGTGACACCTCAATCCTATATTGAAGAAGTAAAAAATATGAGTAACGTAACCTTAGAAAGGTACTTATTAGAAGTAAGCCTACATGAAGGGAATTTACGGGTATACAATAATTCTTTTATTTACTATTTTGTTTTATTATTATGGTCTTACAGGTTATATTGTTGGATGTGTCGACAAATATATCGATTTCTATGCTGAGCACGGATGTTAAACTGATTGATGAATCTTACCCTTTTGTTAGGATGTTAAAAAATAAGGCAGATTTGCAAATCATCATATCTAAAAAACAATTTAAACAGCGATATTTTTTCCCAACCGATTTCCCATTCAATATTCAAAACTTATTTATTGGTGCACTAACTCCTAGTTATGATAAGTTATTCTTCAATTCAAACCGTTTTAATTTCACGAATTTTAAAGGTAATATGTGTTATAATTCTGGATGTGTATATATTATTTTTTTGCAAAAGGTGCTATATGGGATTTAAGAATTGGTAATGATGTGATTCCTCTTAAAAATTTTACTATCGAAAACCATATTTTTTCTGTGCAAAATCAATTTTTAACTGAGAAATATGATTTAAAGGATGTACAAAATTTGACTTTTGGTTCTCCTTCAGACGACACATGTCTTTCTATGCCATGTTTGAACGTGGCAAAATGCCTTATAACTTGGAATGACTACTCGTAAATATTTTAAATGTATAAGTTGATAGTTTAAAGAATATAAATTTAATTACATTTAATATCAATAATAAATATCACTAAGTGAAAGTGTTTTTATTTAAGATAAATTTGATATGTATGGTTGTAAATTTTTTAAAAATAAACTTTTATAAAAATTTTAATTAATAAATAAATTACAGGGTGAAGCATGAGTGGAATTGATGAGTAACAAGGAAAGGATGCGTTTATCTATGTATTTATTTTATTTTTAGTTTCCCTTGAACACCCACAATGCATTCACCCTTGCATGATGAAGAGTACATTAGGGATACCAGAGACTTGCAGGATCGGCCCTAAGCCACATGGGCCGGGCCTAAAACTTTTTAACCCAAGCCGAACTTAAAATTTTTTATAAAACCAAATATTTTAAATCACCATTATTAGCTATAAAAATTAAATATAAATATATAACATTTTAAAAAAATCCGGGCCGGCCGAATGGTATCTGTGCAGGTTTCTGAGGGATACCGTGTAACTGGCAATTACGGCGGCGTATAAGAAAGGAAGATATCTCCGAAATCAATTTAGGCATGTACCGAAAAATTCCATAGCCGATTTTACTTCGCTTTCGGCTATCAACGTAAAAGTAATATAAAAACACCAAAATCAATATTTTTTTTCACATGGGGAGTAGGAGGTGCCCCAAACTCTCCTTATTTCGCTATTAGTTTGGGGATTCGAAAAAGACTCCTAAAGAGGTTGAATTGAATCAAGATATTTAGTTGAATTTGTTTTGATAAGATAATGTGGGAACTTCAAAACAACACCATGGTGTATGTTACATGCCAATGACATTATTCGATTTAGAGTCTATTAAATTTTATGCAACAAGATGCTCTTCTTGAAGTAAAGAAGTAGAGCATATAGAAGAATTGTTAGACTAGTATTGCTGTATGATAGTAAGACTTGGACACTAAGAGAATCAGAGAAAAAATCAATATCTACACAAATCAATATGATTCGTTGGAATCTGAATTATACCAAAGCCAATGGCAGCACGGATAAAATATAGCCCCAGTGACAGACAAAATATGAAAATAGAGATTAAGAAGAAACTCTAGCAATATCTAGAGTATGGTAATTTCCCCGGATGGCATGGACGAAGACTATTCAGCTTAATATGGAAAAAAAAAGTGCAAAGTGACATGTTGGATAAGGAAATTAACGAAAAATGACTGGTTTAAACCCATGAAACATATAGGAAAAGAATAAAAAACAAGATCCCGAAAATGAGATCTTTAGTTAATTTAAAATAAATGAAATGGATTTTATTTTCAGTTATTGATTCATTTATTTCTCAGTTTTTATACTTTTCATTTCCATATTATATCCTTTTTGTTTAAATTCCCATTTTTTTTGTTAGAGGAAAAGGAAGAATTTGAAACAAAAAAAATATAGAATAAAAAATGGATGAAATTGGGAATTTATTATTAAATAAAGAATTATTTTAAAAAGACAAAAGAAAGCTGAAATATTAAAAAAAAAAAAATTCCTAGCCCATAGATTTTTGTCTATTCTAAACCTCTAAATATATTCCAGTAATTCAATTTCTAGAGAGATAACTCATTAACCATGTGATTTGTTCATAAAGAACTAGCGTTAAAAAAATAATAAATATTTTTTAAAAAATTGCATAGAATTGATAAAATAAACAATCTTAATTTTTTTCTCGTTCGAAACTTTCACGAATTATCTTTAATTTTACAAAAAAATTTGAAGTTAATAAAAAAAATCTTCTAAATTATTTCTCCAGATGCGCCTGCCAACAAGGGTACAAAGGGAAAAATTGTGAAATTTATGATTTGTGTGAATCGATTATCTGTCCAATTGGCACCTACTGCTCATTAATTTCGAATACAAGCTCTGAATGTAATCATTATAAATTATTTATTATTTAAATATAGTTGTTAATTCAATTTTTAATATCAAAAATTAAAATTAATTTATACCTTAGTATGCCCTCTATTTAATATGAAGCTATTATTTTTGTTGTGATACTATAAATATTTATTAGCATTATCGTCATAGCTGATCAAGCAGGGTTATTTGGCAAGTCATTTTTTATGATTTATACCTGTTTAAGATATTCTATTGTCAGGAATTCTCCATAGAGCTGGTATATCATACAGATTTCCACAATATCTTCTTTCTTCTACTAAATTATTCTCAATAAAAAGATGCATTTTCGTACGCTATCCGTCGATCCATACATTCTGAGCTATAATTTTAAAATATAATAGATAAGTTGGGCTTAAGTTTTGAAAGTAATTTCATAAGAATAAAATTATTGTTATTGGTTTGACTATACACTATATATGATATAAAAATTGAAAATATTTATAAAAGTCTATTTATGAACATATAGGCACAGAATTAATTACATTTGACGGATTAAACAATCAAGCAATCATTTATGAAGCCTTGCCCAAAGAAAAATACAATACCTTAATAGAATTAATTAAGGATTCTAATCATAATTTAACAATGAATCTTAGATTCAGAACGCGATCATCAGATTGTTTATTGCTCTATATGCTAAATACTAAAAATAAACAATACCTAGCTATTCTAATTGTGGAAGGAAAAGTTGTCATGAAAGTAAAGATAAACACAAATGAAAATTGTTTTAATGAATTTTTTAGTACGATTTTGAACATAATGATCGAAGCGCCAGATATCTTAATTCCACTAATATTGTTTCTAAAGGTGAATGGGTATACCTGAATTTAATCTTTGGAAAAGATTTTGTTATATTGGACTCAAATAATTTTCTTTATCACATGAACAAAACTAATCAAATCTCTGAATTTGTTTTCACTAGTAATAGAATATTTCTAGGTAATAATAACACTTTGATAATATATATGCTAGATTTATTTTTAAAAAAATAATTCAACAATTTTAGGTGGAATGGATGATTCTGTAGACAATGAAGTTTGGGGAAATTTAATCTTAAATCCTTATAAAGGTTGCTTGAAGAATATGTTTATATGGGTTTGGAATACGAAGATAATTTTAACATTATCCAAGTAAAGAATGCAAAAAATATGATATATTATACATTATTTTTAAATGTAAGAGCTTTATAATGAAAGCAGTGGTACCCATACATAATTGGTTTGTCTTATCTACCTTTCAAAAAATAATCCCGGTACTCTTTTAAATTATTTTGCACACCCCTAAATAAATAAATAATTTTATAAGCAAAAGATTAGAGCTAGCGAAGCCACCAAATTATAGTGAACGTTTAAAGTAATAATTATGACAAAAAAAGAGATAGCCCTAATAAAAGTCACTAGTTATAAAACAAAAAAAATCTTTTATCCTAAATAATTAAAAGATTTTGTCCCAGAAAAGAAATTTTTAATTGGGTTAATTATTGGGAGAGAGAGGTATATAGAAGTTTATTCGTTGAACTAGAAATAGAAGGTATCTTAGGTTTTAAAATGATGCATATGTACTACCTCAAAGATCTCGGGGCCGAGTTATGGGTCACTCCCCATAATTTGTGGTCTATATCTATAAAAATTAAATGGAACGTAGCCACTTGAGCTGCTGGGTGTTTATAACAACTATGTCTGATTAGTAAATGATTAATTCAGTCAAAACAAAGTGCTAAACCTTTTTTTCAAAGAATTATAGAAGGAATTATAGGTAATTGACTGTAATTATCTTTTTAAAGGATTGGATAGCTTTTACTATCTGGGGAAATTCCTTATAAATTTATATTTGGTGATAATTGGGTAGTGTTGTTAAACGGCTCGTTTTGAGCCGATTTTTAAAAACGGCTAACTCAGTTTTTTATTCAGAAAAATATTACGCAAGCCTGAAAATTTTGCTCATAGAAGGAGCAAAGGTCTAGGCATATAGTATCGAGATTTCGAGGCTTAGTTAATATTTTTCTGACGAAAATATTGAGTTAGCCGTTTTTAAAAATAGGCTCAAAACGAGCCGTTTAACAACATTATAATTGGGAAGTACAGATAATTCCAGACCCATGGAAAAACTTGAATAGTAATTCGCAGGGTTGGCAAGTCGGGCAACTGACCAGTCAAATTCAGTCAATTGACCGGTCAATTGAACGGAGGAGTATTTGACCTGGTCAAATACGGTCAAATACTCTAAATAAATTTAAAGGAAAAATTCAAATATGGTCAAATACGGTCAAATTCAAATATATGTTTTTTTAAGTTAATATTAACTTTATTTTGGAAATAATAGTAAAATGAATCTATAATATTAATTTTTTAAATTCATTGTCATTAAATAACTAACGTTTAGCTATCCGTAGCAGATTCTTGTTCTGATTCATATTCAATATTATCATTTTCTTTATTTTTTAATCAATTTTCCTGATGTCTTAGATTTTCAATGGATTTCTATTTTCATAAAAATATTAATCCAAATCGACCTATTTCTTTCTAAAGAAGATTTTGAACTAGGAATTGATAATTTCTTAATGGGAATGGTGGGCAAAGTTTAATCTATTAACTTGAGGTCGGAATTGATTGTTTCTGGAAATTACTACTTTCCACATAATTTGCTAAATTAAACATGCTGTTTTTGCTTCTGAAATTTATTATATCACTTAAAATATTTTGGTCATCACTATCTTGTAAAATAGCGAATTCTTGCTATATATCATATACTTCATTAAATTCACTACTAGTGAGATACTCCTCTTGATATTGTATATTTTTAATTTCAAATATCGGTCAATTGACCGAAACGTATTTGACCGGTTAAATGCACAACCCTGTAATTCGGGTGCTTAGAATTATGATTTAAAGGCAGACTCCAGGGTTTAAGAATTATTTACCTTTTAAACAGCAGTAGGATTTAAAATATAAAGTGGGAAAGTGGTCCATTTAAAAACATAGAATGTAAGGGATGATGGGGGTTATATTTATTTATTTCAATTTTGCATTAGGAATAATAAAAAAAAATATCAAATTTAATCTTTTTGTTAAAAATTAATAAACCATCAGATATTGGCAAATATTATAAAAGAGATATCTAATAATAAAGTATTATACCATGTTTTTTTAAACAATCAAAGATAAATAAATAGCTTTAATCTTGAACTTATTCCTTTGTAATTATTTGACTAAAGCGTATAAAGAAAATTTACATAATTATGGAACCGCATCACGGGAAATATTTAATAGGTGTGCCATATTTTACTAATTTACTTTGTTATAATTATAACAAAGTAAGTAAGAGTGAGAGTTACAAAATAATAGAACATGTTTATAATATTTATTAATTTTGATGGTAGTACAAATAATAATATATTTAAACTTAGATAATAATTATCAAAAAGAAACAATGAAATTTTGTAAAATTAACGGTAAATTTTTATAACTATTATTAAAACTTCATGGATTTTGAATGCTAGACAACTTGGTATCTGTCTCTAATATCATTATTATCTCTACACGTGCGAATAAAAAATTTAAAATTTTAGAAATATTATTAATTTTTCATGATCTAACTATAAATGTTTATTATATAATTCCCTATATAGATTTTTTTATTGTCCTGTTTTTTAATTGCAAATGAATGGTTCTTAAACTTATATGACCATGCTAGAGACATTAGCCGCTAGTTCTTATCATTCAGGCATGCTAATAAGTCATATTTTTAGGCATGCTTTTAGATAAAATCTAATTCCTAACAACGTCAAGGCTTACAGGATGTAAATAGAAAGAAAATTTTAAATTATTTAAATATAGAAAGGAAATTGAAATGAATATAACATGATACTTTTTTTCTTTTCTTGTGAATTTATGATTAAATAGTTAAATATTTTTCTATTAATTGAAACGCACACCTTAGTATGATATAAAAACACGCTTTTTAGTGTGATTTGTCTATAGATCTTATTATTTGAGCTCTTAATTATTTCATTTAAAATACATGCAAGTTAAATAGGCTATAATAACATCTGATTTCCAGGATTTTTTTTAGAATGGGAAAATTGATTTTTATGTTTTTCATAGAATATCTAAACACGTCTGTAAATATTTTATAAAAATAAAAAGATAAACCAATTTGTTAAATATAAACTAACCCTAAACTGTATCTGTTCGAACTCTAACCTGCTGGCTTCAAAAAATTGATAACGATTTTTTTAACTCAACCCAATCCAACATATATTGAAAGACATCTTTCCTACCAAACCTGACCCAAAAATCACATATGAAAATCTTTACAGGAAAATTTATTTATTTAACAGTAAATATGTAGCAGGGTAGCAAATCTGAGTTTTTATCAAATGGTTTAAAGCCTATATAAGTTATAACGTGCGTTTAATTTTGAAAAACTCCATTATGTCGGACTAGTATTACAGCATTGATGAGTATCTACTCTGTGAATATATATGTTGACGTGAATGTTTATAGTACCCTTAATTTATATTAATAGGTTATATAAAAAAAATTCCATATAACTTTTAAAAAAAACTTAAAAATTTGTAAGATGGTCTAAATTCACAGGATAGTCCTATATGTATTTGGAATCAGAGATTTTTTTCTTCTAATAATTATAAATTTCAGTATTGTAAACAAAATGACTGTCAAAATATATTTAAATATTGTTTATTTTCATTAAATACAATAAATTATGGTTATGAGCTTGGGCAGGGTTTGGGAAAATTTTGAAACTTATTATGGGCTTGGGAATTTTCATAAATATTAAATATGAGTCGGGCCGGATCTGAGCCTATAAAAAATTTTTACTGCGTGTCTGGATTGCTTGAATAAAAAAATTAAGGCCCATGAAGGACCGTTTGGAATACGATTTCGACTAATAAATAACTATTATGTTATCACTTTAAATAATTAATTTAATAAAAACTTATACATTCATAAAAAATAAAATTAAATCATCAAAATAACTGATCATTCCAGATATTATTTCATAACCAAGAGATTTAAATAAACAGTATATTTCTCAAACTGAGCCTGCATCCTTGTTTCTATAAAAGAACAAAAATATTATTTAAAAATTTATAGAAAGCGGAATACTTATATGATCCAAATTTTACAAAATGTCATAATCTGAGACTTTTTAATATCGTATAATTACTTTTTCTTCGTAATCATTATTTTAATTTTAAAAATAATTTGCGTATATATACATTGAAGATCAAATTTATTTTATTAAAAATTTTTGTCTTTTGTGTTATTGATACAATAACATTACCAAACCTCTTTTATTTTAAATAAAAAAATATTTTGCCTTGAAATTCATTTGAAATATATAGGAAATATATAAACCCACCTCAATTATAGTTTTAATTATAATTGATAAAAAAATAGTAAGATTAATTGAATAATTAATTAGTAGTAAAATGTTGATAAAATTTAATAAAAATTATGAGAACTGGTTTTAAACAATAAAGGGAACAAAATAATATGTATTTATATTTCACTGCTCATGAATTTCCCTATGGATTGGACATACACAACTTAAAAAATAAAATATTTGGGTTAAATTTGGATAAAATATGTCAAAGGGGTATTGTAATTTGTATTCATTGTAATTATGTAAACTATGAAAAGATTTTCCAGCCGGGTTTGGTAAAAAACTTTTACGAAGGCAAAAATTATAAGTTTGAATTTTAAGCTTAACCTTCCCCGAAATCCTGACCCATAAAAATTTCCTTCGTACAGTACTATGTAGTTAACTAATGTAGACATGGGGCAAAAATAATAATTGATAGATTTTTTTTTCTGTCGTGGTTCCAATTTTATTATTTATAATAGACCATAGTAATGCTATACTTTATTTGAATAGGAGAGCTATTTCGCTTACTTATATTTTATGAGTTGATAATTTGGAACATCCTTATTTCATATTCAAAATATATACGATATTCAATTCACTTCAAATGCATATTATTAGAGAAATATAAATAGGATTTTTTAAATTTATTTTGTGCATAATAAAGATTGCAATGGATAAATGATACAGATATAACTATATTGCTGCAACCTTTGACTGTTACGGGAACAAGAGAAGGCTGTTTATACAAAAAGACATGTAAACCTGATTCTTGTAAAAATGGAGGTATAATAAACACTTTATATTACCAGTGTTGTTAAAAGTTATTTTGAAAAATAAATAGTTACTGTTATAAATTATATCTTAAAATTAACTAATTACATAGTAACTATTTACATTGCAAGTTACTTTATAAATACTCAAATAACTCCATTTTCAACATAATTTTTTATTGTACAAAATAGTTTGCTATTTACAAATTCTAATCAAAAATAATGAATACACAATTTTAAGAGAAAAAATGTAAGAGAAAAATATATTATACAATGATATACCTGAAAAATATATAAATAACATAATTATCAATATAAAATATAATAGAAAAGTGGTACAAAGTGTTACGTAATCGCTTAATTTTACCCGACTCAAAAGCAGTTTAACCGAGTTTTTGGGTGAAAAAATTGGCTACAACTAATTAGTCAAAAATTAGGCATTTGCTAAAGAGTTCGACTAATCAACCGCCATCGTTACTATAGCATTACGTGATAAATATAAATAAATTATTATATATAAATATAAATAATTAAGGCTAGACTTAGGGTTGCGCAACTGAAGGGCGGACGATAGCCGAACTTCTTAGCCGATGCCTAATTTTTGACTACTAAGTTTTCGCCGATTTTTCGGCTAAGCATCATAGTTTTAAATAATTTTTATGCTAAGTCTAATTAGACTTAAGCAAAGTTTTTAGCCCATCACGTAACACTAGTTAAAAATATTTTTTTAAAGTTATGATATTATATATTAAAACAGTGATTAAAAAAATTCGAAATAAATAATGTGAAAAAATATAATATGGGAAAGAAATTACTAAAAGAACGACTAAAAATAATAGACTAGAAAGGGGATTAAAGAAATACATTAAAAAGAATGATAAAAGGATCACCCGAGGGAATTATTTTTTAAGTAATAATATAAATCACAATGTAGATATTTATTTTTATTGAATTTTAACAACTATTTTCAAAGTTAGTCTCTAAAAGCGCTTGCTAATTTTTTCTCTAAAAATAAACTTTCTAAATAGGCATATACAGGATTTTTCTATGGGGGGGGGCATTATTAGTTTTCCGCCATAAATTTTATTGGAGGTCTAGGTCAATTTATTGTAAATCTTGGTTATGTTATGTTTTTTTTTAAAGTATAAAAATGCCCTTTTTTCTAAAAATTTGGAATTACAGTCGTTATTTTAAAAAATTAATAACTTTTTCATATTTTTCTTTCAAATTCTTGTTTATATATTATATATTTTTGGGTAGGGGGGATTTGTATTAGCTTAATATGATATTTACTAGGCAAATTTCTATGGGGGGAGGGATGTCCTAGTTTCCCATCCCTTGGGTATGTTCCTGGCTTTTTTAGATAAAACAAACGTTCTCTGAAGGAGTCATTATATTTGATAAATAGTTGTGTTAAATCTGGGAATCTAAAGAAGATAAGTTTTGTTTATTCAATTCTTATCTTAGACAGAAACATTTTAAAAACGCATATGATATAAGGGTTTGAAAGATCCAGGGCTTTGCTTGATTGACCCAGGTTTTTAGCAAATCTTTAATAAATCATTTATAGCTCATGTTTTTTAATTTTGTAAGACTTGAGGGATTTGTATTCTAGCATATATGAATAATAAGTAAATATTGTATGGATTTCATATAATTTCACTATGTTTTATATATTATTTAAAATTATATAAAAAAATATATTTAGAGGAGACCAGAGTCGGGTGATAAAGAGTTTCTCTTTTGCGATGTAAATTTTTTTCGCACAAATTTTTAAATTCTAAACCTTTATATATTTTGCTAAAAACTAAAAAAAACTAAAGGGGAATTTTTATTATTTTTGAGTAAAAAACGGGTTTTTGGCAAAATATATCAAACCGGGAAAATTTTCCAAAAGATGAATCTAGGTAAGAAATTAGATATAAAAATACATTTTCAAACCAAATCTAAAGTCTTTATGCTTAAGGATTAAGAAGTTATTCGGGTTAACATTGTTAGCCCGCCAATCGCTTTACCCCGGTGACTTCTATTTCTTAATAATTTTATAACTTTATCTGAGCATTTGTAATTTATCTTTTTAAGGTAAATTGTAATTATATAAGTAAAGTATTATATACTCCATTGTAGGTTAGTCATAATGTAAATTGATTGAATATTTAAAAAATATAATTTTCAGATTATAATAAACACAAACTAAAGTATCGATAAAAAATTTGATAATTGATTTAATTTGAAACGATAATATAAATTGATTTGTTTAAAAAAGTATTTTATGACAAAATTGTATTATATTTTTAAAACTTTCTTTCGGTGTTTAGATTTTATTTTGACAGACTTTTATATTAAAAGAATATAAATTTTTTCTAAAAATTTAGGCCAGGCGGGAAAAAAATTCTAAAAAAAATGTATCTCTTCATTTATTTAACCAAAATCAAAGCAATTGGTATTTTTTATTTTATAACTCTTTATAAAATAATTATTTTCAAGTAAAAATTTCACCCCGATCTGGGGCCAAAATTCAAGATCGGCCCAAGTCGGAATATAAATAAAAATTTTAGCCTGGATCAAACTGAAAGAATTGAATTTGCAAAATTAGATCGCTTAGTGGATGTAAAATAAACCCTTCTTCCCAATAACTATATTTTATTGTATCACCAAGTTTCACATGGAGAAACTTGACTTATACCAATAAATATAACATTTAAAAAAACTTTCTTATATTATATTGAGGTTACTTTTAGCAAAGATTTAATAATTTTCACCTGCTAACGGTGAAAACAATAATATCATAAAATTTTTCAATAATTTTTTTAAATATATAAAAGAAAAAAAATTATAAGAAAAGATATAAATATTGCACCAAAAACAATATATTAAATTGGCTTATAGCATAGCTACAAAATATATATTTAATTTGAGTACATCATAAAAAAATTATATGAAATATTGTTTCATTATTATGTTGGTAAATACATTTATTACCTTTAAAAATTTGTTTATTAGTTTATTTTTTACTAGAGTAAAAATTAAAATAAATAAAGGTGATACATTTTTTTTATTACAAATATTTATTTTTTACTTGTTTATTATTATAGGTATAATTTAAATTTTTACCTGTTTTATATATTAATTTTATTACTATAATATTTATTTTATAATGTGAAATATTTAAAACAATAAATGCCAATATACCTTAATGTTAAGATAAAAATGAAACTTTAATTTTTTTTTTATTAAATATTCTCAAACAAAGTTTAATATAAATTAAGTTAATAATTTCGACTTACAAATTAGTAATGTAAATAGTATTGGATATACACGCCGAAGAAGGAAATAGCCTGTTATTAATCACATTCCATCCATAATGAACAATAATTTTATCTACATTTATTCAGTTATATTTATGTTGATTGGGGAAATATCCAATTCGGGTATTTTAAATAATGGGCCCACTAATTACAATTATATTATGCGCGATAAAAATCAAATAAGACATTCTAATGACTCATATTTAGATCAATACGAAGATAACCGAATTTCTCAATCATTCCCACTTATCAGACTTGAGAAATATTCTCAAACTAAACTACCTCGGGATTTTATTTCAAATAATATCCGTGTTACTACTATTTCCGCATTACTCGATGGAACGACTTCCAAATTACTGATAAATGAAAAGGTTCAAGGTTCCGTTAGAGTTGTTTTATCAGCCCACCACGAGGATGCCCCGAAAAATCAATATATTCCACAGTTTTTTAAACGAAAATTAAATAGAACACAACAAATAGCTTTACCCTCAATTCAAATTCCACCAAATCGCGAGATTTTCTATGATAAAACGCTTAAAATAAAATATATTGATTTAGATTTATCTAATTTATCAGACCTCAGTCCTTCGAATAAGAGTTTTATTGAAGAGGGAAACATATCAAATAGTGGTGATAACATATTGCCTCATATCTTTCCATCATATTTATTACAAGAAACACCTTTCGAGATCAAAGTCTTTACGACTATTGGCTATTTAAATGTCTCCCAAAATTATAGCGTGATAATGAATACTACTACTATTATACCAATTAACAATTCAAATTTATCATTTATTGAAAGTATTAAATCCCCCAGCAATACTCAAAATTTTTCAAACCTCAATATCTTTCCCAAATATTTATATTCGATACCATCTACTCCTGTTACTGCGCCAAACCGTAAGTCTAAATTTCTATTTAACAGATACGCCCAGGCACGTATGCAGAAATTCGCTATGGGAGGGAGGGAATAAATTTTTTTAGAACTATTCTAGGAGTTATTTAAGAATATCTTACGTTACATAAATTATTAGAATTAGTAATGACTATAAAATAATGACAATTTCCAGGCGCGTACGCAGGAATTTGGTCTGGGGAGGAGGGGGGGGGATAATAAAATTTTTAAGAAATATTATTGTTTTTTAAAAATATCAAACATAAATTTATTAGGATTAATAACAATTTCTAATACACAATTTTAAATTAATCTGAATTATAAAAAAATATGTAAAGAATCACTTAAATGACCCAAAATAGAAATTTGAATTTTTTGAGCTTGATCTGCATCGGGCCTAATTTTTCAAGCCCGGCCCGAAATTTTTTTTAAAAAAGTTTTGCCGGCCCGGCATGAACCCGAAATTTTTTTAAAAAGTTTTGCCGGCCCGGCCAGGCCCGAATTTATTTAAATATAGAAATTACTTTTTATAATTACTTAAAATAAAAGACATATGTTATATGCGTTTAGTTACAATAAATTAAATCAAAATTTTTTATTTTACATAAAAAATTCCATACAAAATTGATAAATTTAGATATATTTAATAAAATTTCCAAGATCCTACCCGACCCGGCCCGAAGTTTTTAAAAAAATATTAGGCCCGGCCCGAACCTGATTATTTTAAATAGAATTAGGCCCGGCCCGTATCCGGCCCAGGCCTAACTTTGCAGATCTCTAATATAAAGTATAAAAAATTTAAATGTTAGA